CATTGTCTTGTAAGCCACACCGAAACAGTGGCTATTGAATATTTTTTAAAACTTCTCAGTGACTGAATGTTAGATATGATTTGTTTGGTCATTTTAACCTTTCTCCGACTATAGAAGCTGTGTACAATTCGAAGGCAAAAATCTTAGCCACCCGATTGCATCCATTTTAACCTACAGTGGTTGCTTGGGAGCTGTTTTGTTAATCCCTTCTTTGTTGTTAGGCAATATATTAGCCGGATGAAAATGGCATCACTGCACCATAATTCAGCAACATAAATAGAGAACAAGGAGAGTGCAGGGCTATCAGCAACAGTCCAACAGCAGATAATAAGAGTCTGTTACTTGAGTAGAATCTGTTATGAAAGACAATGGCAGCGTGGAAGCAATAGTTCTAATTGGGTTAATTAGCCTATATTCATATTTCATTTATGGTGCACGTACCTGTAAATTCAAAGCATCCTACCTTATCATGCTGCAGCCCTTGTAAGTATACGCTGCCATCATGCTCTCTGGAACTCTCCCCACCTCCACATATTGAAATAGTGCACATCACAGTCCTTATTACATGTGTTGCTGTGGAAATGGCATAGAATAGTAGCATTGTGAACTTCTTTCACTTGCCTTTTTTTAAGATGCTCCCATCATTTTAAAAATCATGTTTTGCTTATTGTTTGTATTTTAGCAATACCTTTGTAATTTGCAAATGAAGTCTGTGACCAGACTGCAAATTCCTTCCTCTACCATGAAAGTATGCACCCACTAGCTGGTTACTGTAGGGTTCTTTTCAGTTGTATTTATTTTAGGTGTATTTCAGTGTCGCTCATTACTTGTATTTTCCTTTTCATCTGATTTCTTAAAGTGGTAGGTTGTTTATCCCTTCTGACCTGGATGTTTTGGGGAAAAGCTAGATTAGGGCCCAGTGCTACTCCCCTCAAAGTCAGTGGCAAAACTCTAGGGCTGTCTTTCAGGGACCCAGTGAATTTGTGTGGGATGGGGAATGGTCCACCAGGCTCCCCCTTGAAAATAACGAAAGGTGTAACAAATTTCTGTACCTTTTTCTTCCTGACACCCAGGAAAACAAACTCAGGTAGCGGGGATTCAGCAGCTATGGTGAGGTAGGGAGGAAATTTTGCAGGAACCGGTGATGAATGGAACACAGGGATACTCCGGAGATTCAGTTATCTCAGGATGTCCCTCTTCTGCAATCAGGAGATGTGATTTCAGCAAATGAGACATACCTGAGATAGCTTTGATCTAGCTAAATCAAAGCTAGCTTGAATAACAATAGCAGTGAAGCTGCAGCAGCACTTGTGGCGGCCACTTGAGTATGTAGCCAGGCCCTCGGAGGGCAGGACTATATCAGGTATATCTATGTGTGCTGCAATCATATCTTCTGATTGCAGTGTAGACATACCTTTAAGCATCCAAATTTGGGGGGCTTATGTAAGCTGATCACAAACTTTAATTCTTTTAAGGTTCTCCCATCACTAAAGTAATGCTAGAACAAGGCTATCTGAACTATAAAACCTATTGTTAAAATAGAAACATCTTATAGCACCATATAAAAATGTATGAGTGCCACTTACACATTGTTCCAATACTGTGTTAATAGTCTCACATTAATAGTCTTACTCACAGTGTTTCAACATTTTGTACTATGCAAGCCTGGCCAATTGATCATGATGGCACAATATGACTGCAGTGGTCAGGCTATATCATTGAGCTATATCATTGATTACAGTCGAATGAAAGAACAGTAACAGAAGCAGCAGAATTCTGATGTTACCACTCAGAAAATATTATGTTGCCACTATACATACAGCCACTTTTATAATGTGGCTGCAGAAAAAATAAGCATTTCCTTCATTAGTAATAGACTTGCATTTTATCAAATACTTCCAACAGTCACCATTGTATACTTAATGCCCTAGTCAACAAAGGCAAAGGGGTAAGAAAACTATATAGTCAGTGAATGTTTCATGTCTCTCACACTTTTCTCATTAAATCAGTTTGAAATTAAATTAGGATTTCTTAAAAGAAAGTTAATGAGAGAATACGCATTTACACATTTGATATTAGAACTTCAGGGCTCAAAGATCTTCTTGGGTTATTCACCACCATCTCTTTAATATATTTTTGTAGCATTTTACTTAGAGACGTGCAAACTTTCTATTTCTTTCCCCACATTATGCAGATTACATCTTTGATGGGAAAACACCAAGTGGACGGAACATGTGAGTTGGGAAAGACGGTGATACTTGGAAAGACAGAATGAGACATTCTTTTAGGCTGACATTTTCAAAGGAAGTAGGTGTCCATCTCCCATTGAAAGTCAATGAAAGTTGGGCATCGAACTCCTTTAGGCCCCACTGAAAATTGCAGGCTGAGTTGATAGCAGTTAATAAGACCAAATGACAGTTCCAATTTCAAAGTTGGAAGCTACTGATGCACACTATGGGCCTGATTCGCCACTGTGTCCCTCCAGTTTTACGGTGGTGTAACTCCATTGAAATCCATCTCTTATTAAAGCCACTTATGGCAATATACATGCTACCTGCAAATGGATGCCACTGAACCCCTATCACCTGAAAACACACTGTGATCTCATCAGATAGCTACAAGATGGGAAACATGAGGGTCTAGTTAACACTCTGAAGAGAAAATGTTAAGGAAAACCCAGTTGCTCTTGATTATTCAGTAAGGTGGTATTCTACCATCCGAACTGGCACCGAACCAACGACTTAAATATGGATCTGACATAACAACTCATATATATATCTTGCAAATTTTAACATGTTTCAATAGAAGGAGATATTTTCATTGTTTTTTTTTACTAGAGAACAGCATGATTTCCAGGAATGGGGATATTTGGGGGTATACATTTTGTTTTCTGGAAGGCAGGTGTGAACTTAGGATTTCTAGGACTTAGCAGCATCAATAATAAGGGTTCCCAGATGAGTTTGCCCTCATCCTACTTATTTTTTCTGCCACTGGTTTCCCTAATTGATTATCTGTTCAACTCCAAAAGTGATGTACAGTAGCTGCTCCATCTGTGCACCTCGATGCCATCTACAGAGTAACTGGTGTTGCCACGGCTAAGCACAATGATTGTCCACTGATGATTGTGCACGGCACATTTATGTCAGGTTATTCTACATAGTTGACTGCTCCATGCACTCCACCGAAAGACTCCTCCTCAGATGCACTGGCACAGCTCTAGTGTGTCATTCCCTCATTCGGGTAGCAACACTCAAGTAAATGTACAGTTTCATTACGGTAGAGAGGGAACTAGTCAATGGGGCCTCCACAGAGTAGATTTTTAGGCCCAGAATTAGTCTTAAAAATCTAGCACCATTTTTTATTCTTCTTATTCTTAATGAAGTAGCAGCCTAAGAAAATCTTTTTCTTCTTTTTAGCTGCTGTATTTTAGCTGCCTGCATGTGCATCTATCTTGCAAGCACTTTTTTAACTTTCACAGCCTCAAAGAAAAACACTAGACGTACATTTTGAGTTCTCCTCCCCTCTCCACATAACAACCTTAGCACCCAGCCACTTGAAAATTATGTCTTTTACTTGATATGTAATTTACATAAAACATTTGCCCTTAAGGCAAGGTTACATTCAAAATGGACGTAAGCTCATTCAAAATGTGCATAACTGAGGTTCTCTTTAGTTTTGGGAGAAATTGGATTTGCAACACATTGTGAACTTTTTCCAAAGGAAGATTAAAATAATTGTCATTATTACAAGAAGTTGGGCATCAAAAAGTTATATAAGATGAGTTGGAGGTAGTGGGTAACATTTTCAAAAATCACCTAAGTGATTTAGTGGCCATTCCTTTCAAAGTCAATGGGATATAATGCACCTAACACACACGGGTGTTTTTGAAAATTTTACCCACTGCCTCTTCTTACAGTCTCCTCTTAAGATATCACAGCAAAAAAGGTTCACTTGTCTAGGTGAACACAGTCCTGCCTCAGCAGAGGGGTATGGACTTGACGACCTCTCAGAATCTAAATCCTGTGATTCTGTGCTCCCATGAAAATGGTGAATTTTCCTTTCATTTTTATGGTGTAAATCTAGAGTAATGCCATTGACCTAAATGGCCAGCCCATTTATTCGAGATTGATACACACGTAACCAGCAACAGAATCTGAGGGAGTTGCTCTCCCCAGATAGCTTCACACAAGTCTGTAATAAGACCCCACTCCTGCAAAGAGAACTGCAGAGGGAGCCATGCACAGTCATTGAGCCTCACTGACTTCAGTGGGGCTCTGCATTTGCCAATCCTGGTTTTCTCTGCAGGATTGTGACCTAAAGCAACATGCACAAATCTCAGTCACTGGAAGATTAAATCATGCACAAATCCTCCTTTAAGACTATGTCATTTTGAAGAACTGATGTATGTCTCAAAGAGCTTAAGCTTTCGTGGGTAAAAACCTCACTTCTTCGGATAAGAAGTGAGGTTTTTACCCACGAAAGCTTATGCCCAAATAAATCTGTTAGTCTTTAAGGTGCCACCAGACTCCTTGTTGTTTTTGTAGATACAGACTAACACGGCTACCCCCTGATACTCAAAGAGCTTGTGGTCTAGATATGCAGGAGGTGTAAATCATCATGACTTCACTGAATTCAATGGAGCTAGGCTGAGTTACATCAGCTGTGAATCTGGCTCCACTGTTTTTAAAGTAAGCCCAAATATGTATTGCCAGTTGTTGAATTATTGTATAAATGTGTGTGGAGAAATGGAAAAAAAGGGCGAAAACAAGAAATATCAGAAATAGATTCCATATTTCATAGAAAAGGTACATTTGGTCTAAATTATCCAATAGATTTGCATTAACAGCATTCCTACCCCAAGAAATGTTTGTTTTTTGATTGATCAATACTGATTCTGAAATATGGTTATTTATTTTGGAACTTCACTTTGATGATCATGTGATACACTATGCCTTTATAAAAGAGAACCCGGCACATTCACCTTTAGCTTATCCTTCATAATGAGGGACTTAATTCTAGCTCTGACTTTAACCCTTGTGGGTAAGTAAGTACGTTATTTGTCTGGATAGGTTTATAGCAGAGACTTTTTTGAATAAGGCTTAAGAGACTAATTGTTGTTCATTTATAAATATAAACTTCAAAGTTGCATAAATGGACAAGAAAACCTGATACCAAATTCTCCATTGTCTAGGGGAGGAAAGTTTGGATATATTCTGACTTTAGAATAAAAATCTGTGTTTAAAAATTAACAGAATTAACTGGAAAGTATTATGCAGCATGTACTTCACAAGTTGAGATAAAAATTTGGACAGTAATTTTTTATAAAAAAATTGTAAAATGATTCTTTGCCATAATTTCTATATATTTTTTCTCTTTCAGGGAGTCAGCATCTTAATTATCGTAAGTATTTTTCCTATCAGATTATATCATTCTAATGGGTGCAATTGAAATATAATCTGAAAGGTGTAGGAATGTTTAATTTAGTTTTACAACTCCTAATGTGCTTCAGAAGTAATATCAAAATTAACAAATTGATCTTTCCTATTTGGAGCTAAGTGTACTAAAATATATTCTATAGGTTCTCTATAATGTTTACTGAGCATTTTTTCTTTACAGAACCTGATTTCAAAGAAAACAAGGTTTACACATATGATTATGAAAGTGTATTTCTCAGTGGACTTCCAGACAGAGGACTTGCAAGAGCTGGAATAAAAGTAAAATGTAAAGTGGAAATCAGTGGTATTGGGCCAAAACTTTGTCTTATTAGGGTAAGAAAATGTATCCAATGTGAAAGCTGAAATTATCTTCCTACCTGACTTTTTTTTTCAAGCTTTGGGGAAATAATTAAGTTTCATCATATGTTTTGCTTACTCAGGCAGAATGTAACTGACACTGTTATTTTTTTATGCAGTTCCCTATATTCTATTTGCACTTTGCCAGGTAATTCTCAGCTCAAGCCAACCTTGGGCTTGAAGGATTTCTTCTGCTTTGTGGTCAGGGAGACAACAGAATGTAATTTCAAATGCATAATAATTCATTACTGGATCAATTCAATTGTTCCCAAACTGTACAACCTAAGATTATTTAATCAACTGATTTTGCAACTAGCAAACAAACAGAAATAAACATATTATAGCAGCTGGATGTCATTCAATATCTTGCATACGTATTTTTTTCTGGCTGTTTCTTTAGCTTCAGTGGGGAAATGCCATGTTGTGCTACACTGAGATTGTATTCCTTTATTGTATGCTGACATTAACATTTTTGAGTAATTACTAAAGATTTCTGATTATATGAAAATGATTTTGACCTCTAATGTAAGCCTATGTGTGCTTCCAATGAATGTATTGAAACATACCCCTTTATTGCTCTGGACTGATTCCATTTAGTTTTGTATGTGTGTGGAAGAAAAATCATCTTTTTAAAAGATTTCACTTGGCAAATTTAAATTATAGATAGGAAAGACTAGTGGCTGTGTCCTAATAAGTGCCTGAAAAGAGCAGGAACTTTCCAACTGAAGTAGCTGCCTGCTGTTGTGTATTCTTATAGGATATAATGAAAGGCAATAGGAAATGTCTCTCTTTGGTTATGTAACATGGCATGCCCTTTCAGCTATAGGGGACGTTTATTTTTATGCTGCTAAATTTAAAGCATTTGGTTTTGGAGAAGTGAACGGCGCAGGAGATTAACCTTTCACTTGTAGGCCACTGGTTCATATCTACCTTAAATCAAAATTAATGGTCTCAGACCCCTTCCCAGTAGACAAATATCTTCATTGTAAAACCACCAGCATAGCTCTCACCCATGTTGGCAGTCTCCACTGAAAGCCCAAGTACTGAATGGGCCCTGGAAACTGAACATATATGGCAGAAGCACACTGATGGGGCAGTGTGTTGGGGGGTGGGGGAGTTTTGCACTGCAGCAGGGCTACAATATGAGGTGGAGAAGAGAGATCTGCAGCTATCTGAGCTTCCAACCCCAAGGTTCCCAGGTAAAACGTATAGGGAGGGACAATTCCTCCACTCTGCTCTCTAGCCCCCTCTGCCCCCCCACACACACTAATTGTGACTCTAAGAATAGCTCAGCAGCCATGTCACTATTAGCTCTACCCTTGGCTGTGCTTTGTGACTTCAGTTAGGGGGATCATAGCAAGTGCCACCTGAGTTAATGCTGCTTCATGCAACATTGACTTTCCACACAATTTACTGCAGGTCTTCCACAGTTCTGGTGGTAGAATAGGGCTTAGTGTGTCTCTTCTCTGGCTCAGTTCTGTACACAGGCCAACCTTTGGGCCAGACAGATGATCTGTGAATTGAGACAAAGGATGGTATGTGTGGAAACATCCCACTCAGCCACTTTTCACATCTGCAAGTCCCTGTCATGGCTTTATCTTGAGGTATTGCTTCATAAAATCCTAAGAAAAAAAGTTCATGGAAAAATGTTAATAGGAAATCTATTTCCCCTTCTCTCCCAGATTCATTCACTTGAAGCAGCAGAATACAATGGTATCTGGCCTAGAGATCCATTTGCACGGTCATCTAAACTGACCCAGGCTCTTTCAGCACAACTCAGAAATCCCGTCAAATTTGAATACAGCAATGGCCGTGTTGGAAATCTTATGGCTCCAGATGCTCTCTCAGATGATGGTCTTAATTTCTGTCGAGGATTTCTGAATATGCTGGAATTAACCCTGAAGAAGTCACAGAATACATATAATTTGCAGGAGGTGAGCACTTTGCTTTGGTAATTATGTTTGTGGTGTAATTTGAATAAGCATACATTTCTGGTTCTTCTAACACATTTATCTGAATTCAGTGTTAAGTGTCTATTTACTAGTAAGCAACATCTAGACTTAGAGGAAAGTTGTTCATCTATTCTGTACTGCCACTGGTAGATCTGTGCCTTAATGGTCCAGAGAAATGTATAGATTTTTAATCTGATTGATCCAATGATTTCAGGAGTGCATTAACAACATTAGAAACTAAGAAAACATGGCTTGTTGGGTGGTAAAAGGAAAAAGGAAACCACTCTGAAAGCTATAATGTTGGTCTACAAAAAATGTGAATAGTACATTAAAATAAGCTTAAACCCTCCGCATATTATTAACATTTCCTCTAGAAATAATAGCAATTTGATGTGTCTAAGAAATCATGCATACTTTAATCTCCTTTAGCTCCTATTTGAGAAGGAATATAGTACATATGATGTTGTGTTATTATAATAGCATTTACAGCTGTACTTGATGTTCTGTTGGAATTTCCACTGTTTTATGGGTTTTAATACCATTTTAAGTAACCCCACGTTGAAATTCACCACACAGATTGAAATTGATTTAGTTTTGCATAAATATATTTACATTGATGAGGTTGGTTTTCATTTCATTGATATTATTGTGCTTTCAAAATATTTTTATTGCAAATGTAGCCCAAAACCACTTTCATTTACTTGATATGATCAGAATAAGGTTCAGAAATGAGCTTCAGGATCTCATATTTTTCACAATATGTGTTCCACCTGCAGCACCATATTGAGACCTTGTAGCTGTAGCATATGCAGTATTTTGCAATGCCCAGTTGCACATCTTCATTATTTCTAAATGAATTGGTTACATGTGGTAGTCCGGTTGCCAACCTACACATATGGGTTTAGCTACTGAAATCTTTTCTGAGTTTTCATTATTTTACTCAGTCATTTACTGATTAATAAACCTTGGCATCTTTCCCTGAGGATCTCAAAGAACTTTAGAAAGGAAGATAGGCATCACGATAGGTCCCAAAACACAGAAGGTGAACCTGAGCTGCAGAGCGTGACTCTATGTATCCTGTGCCTTCTAAACTCCCAGTGAGGTCAATAAGTATTTGGGATATTTAAGGAATGAAGAATCAGGTGATAAATGTCTTACAAGAGATCACTTAATTAATGGGAGTTTTAACTGAGGTCTGAAAAATCAGGTCCCGTACCACTAAGTCCTTGGAGTAATTGTATGCTACCTTTAACAATGAAAAGTCAGGAAATGAACCATTCCCCCAAAAATATATTCACTTATCTCCCTTTAACATTAGTAGAAGTCCTGTTCACTGACTGAAGAGAACCAATACACTTTATACATATAAAATCTTAAAGTAGTATTAAACATTTGAGTTAAACCTTCTAATACAAGAAAATCCACAGTTAAAGCTCCACTATTCTTAACTAATGTATAATTATTGCTGCTCACATTGTGTGTCAGATTATCTGCTATTCTGAAGCCTCTAATAGAGGAATGTATGAGCTGGAGATTAGGTATAATGGGATTTTTAAGGGCAAAGTATCAGCCGCAACTCAAAAATCTCTTGCTTTTGAAGTTTAATTCTGACTGATCAAATTATTTCAGCACATATTTATTAATTTTTCCAAATTATATCTCCTATTCCATAGTCCTTAATTGGAAATTGATACAAACCTCTCACTGAGCCAAAATTTTATCCCACTGAAGTCAGCGGGGATTTTGTCTGTGCTTTCAATGGGACCCCTGCTTTGGCCCTTTGACAGTACATGCATGTTTTTTAAATATGGTCAGAGCACAGTAGAGATCCATGTTAGGCATCCAGCAATTCTGCATCAAGAGAAGCATTCTCTGAGACAGCGCTGATTGGTTCTAATTTTTGGCAGGCTGGGATCGATGGTGTTTGCAATACAACCTATGTGATTCAAGAAAACAGGAAAGCAAATCAAATCTATGTGACAAAATCCAAGGACCTAAGCAGCTGTGATGAGAGAGCTCAGATGTTTACTGGTGCTGCATATACTTGCCAATGCCCAGCCTGCAGAGAAGTAAGTAAGATGGATTTATATTTAAACACATTGTGGGGCTGATTCTTCTCTCACATGCATTGGTTTTGCACCCATTTAACTACATTGGCTCCTGATTTATACCACTTAAAGTGGAAGGCAAATCAGGCTTGATATATCTAATTATCTATGTTTGCTTTCTGCATGGTATTCATGTATATTGGCCATTGCAAAACCTCTGTATCACATTATGCCCTCAGAATAGGGGTACATATGTCTCATGCTGTCTCTGTTCAGAACAAAATTCTACCCTCTCAAAAGAATGATCAGTTGCTTAAATTCAAGGAAAGAAAAGTTTATGCTTAAAATTCTTAGCAGTATGAGCAGTGGGATTGAACTCCATTATGTAAATATGCAAGCAGAGTTCACATGAGACATTAATGGGAATAGTATAGAGAGTAGCCTTGCAAACAAATGGGTCACACTGGATGGTATAAGTGGTATTTTCTGAGCCTACTATCTATGAATTCTATTCACGGAATTTAAATTAAATAACTTTCTATTTGTCACTTTTTCATTCTGAAGAAAAACAAGTATTCACGGGCAACCACTACTTACAATTACAAAATCAAATCTTCCCGTGAGGAGGCTTTAATTGTGCAAGCTGATGTCCAAGAAATCCATCAGTTCACACCATTCCATGAGGTCACTGGAGGGGATGCTGTAGTAGAAGCAAGGTACTGTACATCTGCATAGCTGATCCAAAATTACATATCCCTTTAATTCACTAATTCAGCATCTAAGTAATCTAGTCAAATTCCCTAACTGAATTTAGACCTCTGTACCTACCACATGTTGACTGGCAATATTACATTATATAAAGCCTCAACCAGATAATAAAAAAACAACCTTCACTGTTGGTCATAAATCTGAAACATGTGCATAACTATCCAAATTTTGCTAGCTAAAGTTGGCAGTATTTGGTGAGTTTATTTCTCTGGGATATTTGATTTATGCCTTAAAAGCCAAGATAAATGCAATTTGATCTGAAAAAATGCAAACTAATTTATTTGTAGTAAAATACTCTGATATACAGTTACTCACTAAAAGGAAGATCCCTGGAAAACCACGTCACTGAAAGAGACCCATGTGGATATTCACAGCAGTTTGAAATTTGTCATGTTGCCAATGCAGTTATGGGTATGGCTGGTTGAAAATTTTCCATCACAACTGCTTTTGATGGGTACCTGGGGTTTTAACCAATGAAATTCTACACTAAAATTGTTTGCTGTCTGTGGAAAATTTTGAATTTATGTCAAAAACTTTGTGGCCAAGACCTCAAAATATTTGCTTGAAAAATTTAAACCTTCCACTTTTCAGCTGAAATCCAAAAACATTCACATTTTCTTTATGAATATATTTTTTAATTTTAAACAAAATTTTCCACAGAAACAAATTATTTTATGACCAACTCTAGTTATGGGCTTTGTATACAGAGAAATCATGTCACAGAGTAGGGAAGATAGGGAGTTCTTTTTATCACTTAGATATATTCACCTCAAGCCAGATCCTAGCTTATGTCAACTGGCATTGCTCCATAAAATTCAGTGAGGAACTGTCCCCTCCACTATAGCCTACAGGTCTAGGCACTGCAATACCAGAAAGATTAAGACAAATTAGGAGTTCAGAGAACTGCAACAAAAATGAATAAAGGGCTGGAGAGCAATTAATTGGCCAAGAGGAGCATAAGTGGGCATGATAACTTGGTTAAACAGTGAACAAGCGGGGGTAGGATAAGGTATTTTAAAGAACTTTTACACTCTAAGGATCAGATGTGGATACACATTTGGGTGGTGATGATGAACGGTGTTTGATGCAGCCCAGGAAAGGGTCAGGCATAATTGCAGACCAGGTACCAGATCCTAGGCTGTTGTAAGTTAGCAGACCCCTCTTGGAGCCAATGGACCTACACTGATTTCCACTCCCTTAGGACCTGGCCCTCTGTCTTCAGGAGAGCACAGACTGCTTCCTTCCTGTTCCTCAAGGGCTGCTTGATGCCCCCAAAAGAGTGGAAAAGAGACTCAGCAGTGGCTTTGCTCTGCTCCCTGCTCCTATACTCCATGAACTGTCCAGCAGAATTGGCCGACCACATAAGGGGTAGTAAGAGGAGGGCATGCAGTCTGGGTCTCCAGGAAGCATTTGTCAGATAACTAAAGCTATTTTAAATACATTTTTCATATAAGTGAGAAGTAAAATATCAAGAAATTTAATACGCTTGGGGTCAGATTTTCAAAACTGTTCACCGCTGGCCTAACACTGCTCCCATTGAAATCGGGGGAGTTTTACTATTATTTTACCTTTTAACCCCACCCTAAGGTCATGGCTACATTACAAAGCCTATGCCAGCCTAGTCCCCAATGTAGATTCACCGTATGCTGATAGATGGAGGTGTTCTCCCAGTATAGTAACGCCATCTCTCTGAACAGCATTAGCTAATGCCAGTGAAGAGTGTGTCTGCTGGCAAGATGCATCTACGTTGGGGGATTTGTTGGAATAGCCGCGTCACTAGATTTATTTTTCCCCTTCACAGTCCCAGCTGACATAGCTATGCTGATATAAGTTTTAAGTGTAGACCAAGCCTTGATGTTCATTTTCCCATATATGCACATATACCTCTTCCCAATACTTCAGAGCTGAAGGTATGTAATAGATTTGGCATGGGCTGGAAGGGGGAAAGAAACCTGTCTGAGTGTACCTGGCATTATACTTCCTGACTCCAATCCCCTTCCAGTAATATTGTATACGTTTTCTGGAGAGGAAAAATCTCTATTGATTGTATAGACCCTTGTATTCAGCTCCTACTGGATTGTCTGTAGAGTATTTCTATAATATTTTTGCAAAGATCTTATGAAATTCCTATGGAAACAGTGTGTGGAATGTTTCAAAAGATCTCTGTAGAGATTCCAAAGTAAACATGCCAATTTTCTATGGAGGTTTTAGAGACTATTCAGTACAATCATATCTACTGGAATGTTCTCAGATGTTCAGTACAAATACCTAAAAGTATTATATTGTCCTAAATGGTCTATTTAAATGTAATTGGCAGGATAGGACACATCCCTCTAGCCACAGATATGGCAAGGATAAAAAATGTTTACAAACACAGCCTTTCATTAAAAACTTCTTGATGATGAAGGGTGATGGTTTAGCTCAGTTGAAAAGTTTCCAGAGGTTTGGATGTTTTTCCAAAGTATCTGAATCTCTTTGCTTCCGAAATCAGGTTGGGGAAATCTCATGAGAACATTTCATCTTATGAAAACCCCAGGACATTCTGCTTACAGTTGGGTCAGTAATAATTTAAGAAGAGACTGTAACATTTCTTGCAGTATTTCACTTTTTTCACTTCCATTTGAGACCAGAAAGTGAAGAGGTGTTTAAGAACTCTCAGGAAACCTCTAGACAGGCTCAAAATTCAGTGATGATTTCTGATGAAGGATCAAGTCCGTTATTTTTATCTGAACTTCAATACATGAATGTACATATAACACACACATTTCCTGTGATCTTATTTATCAAGCCCCTTCATCCAACCCCCCGCCCCCCAACACACATACTCCTCCTGTCCCAATTTCCCTTCCCCTGGAATTTTAGTTCTTTACTCCTAAAGGGGAGTAAAGTCTAGATCTGACCCTGAGACGTTCTGAGTATTGGGAGTTGTAGGTTCTCTCAGGATCAGGCCCTCTCTCTGGATTTCAGTGCATATGTTTGTGAATAACTTTGCATCTTGATAACAAAACACTTTTGTAAAAATACATAATTATATTAAGAGCAGAACTTCTCTTAATTTTGCACGCTGGATCTCATGATGTTAGTTCACTGGGTTTCTCCATTGCAGGCAGAAGCTGGTACTGAGTGATGTGGAAAAACACTCCTCAGAAGTCCCATCAACAGAATTCCGGAAACGTGGATCACTTCGGTACCATTTTGGCAGTGAATTGCTTCAGCTTCCCGGCCAGTTATTCAAAATCAAAAACTTGGAGAGTCAGGTAAAATTAACTGCCAGAAGTAAATATTTCGCTGTAAATCAGTGCTGATGCATGTGGGAAAGGGAACATATTTGATCTTGCTGTATATTTTAATTTTCTTGCAGATAGTGGAAAACCTGCGGTATCTGGTAGAGCACACACATGAGCGGGTTCCTAGTGATGCTCCATCAAAATTCCTGCAGCTTGTACAGCTTTTCCGGGCAGCAAATGATGATATCTATGAGTCAGTTTGGAAACAGTTTTCTAGCCGGCCTGTATACAGGTAATAGTAACTTTAATTCTTAAAACTATGATTGAAGATATGAAATGAATGTGTTCAGATGCAGATCTGGAAAATGATCATTGTCTTTCCTATTGCAGGCGCTTGATTTGGGATATAATTCCTGCCGTTTCCACTCATAGTGCAATCAGATTCTTAAGGCGTACAATTGAAAGGAAAGAACTCAGTGACCTGGAAGCAGCTCAGGCAGTGCTTGTGGGCCTGCATTTAAGTACACCAACCCGTGATGTGATAGAGGAAGCGGTGGTAGGATGTTTTAACACTCTCTAATCTTTCTTCACCAATTCTAGCATCCATTGTATTTACTCCTTTGGCAAGATTGCAAAGGCTTTGAAAACACAAAAGTTTTATATCCGGTAGTGAGATTGAAAAGACTTTATTTCCTGACAGTGTTGGAAGGGTGGAAGCAATCAAAGGGACATAGATGAAGCCAGAATGAAACAGCTGAATATTCCTAAGTGATGTAGTTTTAATGTTGCAAACTGATTTCTGGAAGTCTTTTGTCCAAATTAACTTTATAGTCAGATCAAGATTGGCTCTGTAACTCAGGGACCCCACAACAGCTAGATAGTAAGAAATACATGTTTTGCTTTATCAGAATATATTGGGCCTGATTGTCCTATCAGGACTGGTATAAATCAGAGTAATTCTGCTGAAGTCAAGTGAATTATGCCAGTGTGAAATGAACTTGTGTAAGAGAGAGTAGAATCAGGCTCATTATAAAATTTTGTACATATTCTGTGGGTCAGATTCTGCCCTTGGAAGCATAAAGTCATTTCCTCTTAATTTCAATGAGAGCCATGCCTCTATGAGCAAAACTTGGCCCTCTATGAATGTCAGCACAGACCAGTTATTAGCATGTTCACCTATGGGGCAGAAAGTGATGGATTCAAGTCCGATGTTAGCATGTGCTTTCATGCTAAATATTCCCATCAGTCTGAATTATTGGGATATATTTAGTATCCCTCTTAGTTTTTTGTCCCTACAGTTCCGGCAATTATAAAGCAACAAAGAACACTCATAGTTTTATGAATACTATGCGCCACTCAGTTCTCAGTAAAATTCACCTTCCCTACTTTGGTGATTTTTCACCCTTTGGATTACAACAAGAACTTAATACCCAAATCAAAATCTGGAATATTATTAAAACAACAAATCTTAAGTTTCTCAGAGATACCATGTAGTCACTATGTGAAATACAGTAACAGCCACTGATCAACTAAGAAGCCAGCCTTTCAGGGAATATCAGTTGCTATGCATTGCCTTTTCCTGCATGCGGATTTATATAAAACGTACATAAATGCAAAATAAAAATTAAATTATTTCTTGCTAGTGATGGTAATGTCCAAATATTTTCTCTCTAGCTCATCCTGAAAAAGGCTCATTCACGCTCAGATACTTTACTGCACAGAATTGCCTATCTAGTCTATGGATCATTGGTTCATAAGTACTGCTCCGTTTCGGACTCCTGCCCTGAGTCAGCTCTCCAGGTACACAGCCTGAATTTCTTTTATTTATTTTTTAATGGAAAAATTGTAATTGAGACAATTAAGGTTGGAAGGACAAAGCATATCATTCTGCACGCTTTCGTGGCATCTTTTATCTGAGGCTCTCAAAATGCTTTATAGTGAAGTCTCATGACACACTCATAGGTGCCAACTCCGTGGGTTCTCCAGGGCTGGAGCACCCATGGAAAAAAATTGGTGGGTGCTGAGCACCCACCGGCAGCTCCCTGTGGCCCCGCCCCCTTCTCCAGCTCACCTTCGCCTCCGCCTCCTCCGCGAGCGTGCCACCTCGTCCTGCTTCTCACCCCTCCCTCCCAGCGCTTGCGCTGCGAAACAGCTCATTCACAGGGCAGGGAGGGAGGGGGGTAGAGGGGGAACACGGCGCTTTGGGGGAAGAGGCGGGGCCGGGGCGGGGATTTGGGGAAGGGACCCAATAGGGGCAGGGAGGGGCGGAGTTAGGGCAGGGACTTTGGGGGTGGGGTTGGAATGGGGTGGGGACAGGGACAGGGAAAGGGGGGGCGCAGGCACCCACCGGCACCGGAGAAAGTTGGCGCCTATGGACACACTTCCATGGTACTCATAAATATAACCATTTAACAGATGTGCAAATTAAGGAACACAAAGATTAATTCCTTGCCTAAAGTCATGTAGTGAGTCAGTTGTAGAGCTAGGAATAGAACCCAGAAATCTTGACACCCAGTCATCTACTTAAACCAATAGACTACACTGGCAATAATAATATCTAGTTCTTATACAGCGTTTTTCCTCAGTACATCTTAAAGTGCTTTGCAAAGGTGGTAAGTATCATTTTCCCCATTTTGCAGTTGGGCAAACAGAAGCACAGAGGGCTAAAGTGACTTGCACAAGGTCACCCAGCAGGCCAAGGGCAGAGCCAGGAACAGAACCCAGGTGTCCTGAACTGTAGCACTCTTTCTCCACTAGGCTACACTGCCTCCCAGCTATTTAAGACAAATGTTATTGGGAGATGGGAAGTGTTTAAAGCAAAGCAAGGGGTCAGACAGGAAATGTTTTAAATTTGGATTTGCCTATTAGTATTATCCTGTGCAAGTTTTGAGCTGAATTAATAGATCAAAAATATGATGTTTTAAAAAACAAAAGTTGCTCTTTAGGCCTATCTCATGTATTGAAAATATTCTGTGATATTTTGGCTTTTTTCATTCAGCCCTTGTTTGTACAGTCAGAAAAGTTCTCTACCAGGCAAGAGTTAGTTCTAGCCACACACTCAAAAATGACAGCTGTTTAGACCACAAGTACAAATCCTGCCCAGTGACTAAAAAACGTTAGGATTTGCTTGCTTTACAAGCAGCAGAATGAAATGGCCTGGTGGTCTCCCTAGAAGTCGATGCTACAAAACTGCCACTCCAGTTGGCAGAGATTGGAACCTTTATTAACCATCTCATAAAAGAGACTAAAGACAGAATGGGCCCAAAGACTAGTCTGTCTTCTTGAATCTAGTGGGGTTCTTAAGCAGGAAAGGAAAGATTTTCAAATGCACCAATGCCAGGTTCCTAACTCCCATTGAAAGCCATTGGGAATTGGGTCCTAACTGCCATTTGTGCCTTTATACATCCAGGGCCGGCTCCAGGGTTTTTGCCGCCCCAAGCGGTGGAAAAAAAAAAAAAAAAAAAGTCGCGATCGCGATCGGCTGTAGCTCCACCGCGCCGCTTTCTTCTTCGGCGGCACTTCGGCGGCAGGTCCTTCCCTCTGAGAGGGACCGAGGGACCCGCCGCCGAATTGCTGCCGAAGAGCCCGAAGTGCCGCCCCTTCCCCTTAGTCGCCCCAAGCACCTGCTTGCTCAGCTGGTGCCTGGAACCGGCCCTGTATACATCTAACCCATCATGTTTAAGGTATATCGGTGAGGAACTGTGCATTGCTGCTGTCTATGCTGTACTTGTTCCAAGAACAAATTCACAACTTCAGTCTTCAGCACTAAAATTCCAGCAATTTCCATGAGCACTAAATGCAACTGAAAATACTTTCATTAAATTATTTGAACAAACTAAAACTACTCAACAACGCCCTCAGGGTATGTCTACAGAACCGAATTGCAATTTAAACCCTTTTTGTTTTTTCAGCCACTATATGATTTTGCAGCTGAAGCATCCAGCAGGGCCAAGGAGGAAGAAATGGTCCTGGCCCTGAAGACCTTTGGGAATGTAGGACATCCAACCATCCTAAAGCGCATCATGAAGTTTATGCCAGGATATGCACCTGGTGCTTCTGATCTCCCAGTCAGGGTTCAAACTAATGCAGTGATGGCCCTGAGAAACCTGGCCAAGAGAGACCCACGAAAGGTAAGGAAACAAAGAATCCCTCTTTAGCATGTGCTATAAGCTCAACGTGTTGTTTTTATTTGTTGCAAGACAGGGGTGGCATTTTATACATACTTCTGGTGGTTTTCTTTACATTAATTCCATTATTTATGAGTGGGAACCTCCAATTCCTTATGACACATTCATCTTCAGTATTTCAGAACGCACGGAATAGCTTAGTATAAGGATACGTTCATTATTCTGTTGTTGGGTTGTTGTCAGCATTTCCATTTTAAAATCTAATTTTCCAAAGATACATGATAAGTTACTGATCAAAATGTGTTTAGTGTTATTTCAACACTGGTGTGAGAGAGAACCCACAAAGCAAGGTTTTCCAAAGATTTATATTAACTATAGATTAAGTGTCACATCTAATCATAAATCAGGGCCATATCTTAGATATATATTGATATCTCATAGATATTGCAGAGTTGAATCCTAATTATGAATGTATAGACATTGTGTGTGTTTAAACCATAAATGGAACATTTATTAAATGTGACTTTTGTCTTTGAGTTATATTATGATCAGGCAGCACAAAATAGTCTCTTACTCCACAGATCAGGCTTTACTGCTCCTCTCTTCTGAAAACAGTCTTATTCTAAACCAGAAACCTTATGTTTTCAAGTTTGACTTACGTTCAAGATTCTTTTTTAATCACTCAGGGTGGAATATTGTTGTTTTCTTTTCTTTTTCTTTTCTTGTTCTAAACAAAAAAAAATTATATGGTTTTAATTAATCTTTACATCAGCTGAATTCACAACATCCCACTGAGGCTTTATCAGGATTTCTGTTATACCCAATTTTTGTATATGTTGTCTTGATCCCATATTTTGGCTCCAGGGTAAGCCGCTCCAGAATGTGTTCTTAGCAGAAAAAATAAGGAAACAGCTGCTAGGTTGCATGAGATATATAAGCAGGGAGATGGGGGTTGAGCCATGGTTTCTTCTTCAGAGGAAAAGAAAAAGCTGCTTTGGTGTTTCAAAGCAGTATTGTGGCTGTGATTCCCCCTGAGCCCAGCACTCCTCATGTGGCCCAGGCAGTTATTTCATTACATTTATTATGCACTTTTTGGAAAAACCCTAATCTGAAGTATTTTAATGCCCATGACTGGGTGTTCCACTGTATAAGAAACAATGTGATCCCAGGTTTGTGGTTTACTACACACAAATTTGCACTAATCAGTCCTACCAGGTGGCCTTTCATTTCATTGCTTAATTTGAAATAGTTGTGTACATTTTGGAAACATTTGCATCCTTGTAGTCACCTTTATTTTAACATTTGCTAATCCACATCATTGAATTAATATCAGGTCAGTTAGAGCTTGATCATTAAAGTACTTTGGATCAAGCCCTTACACTGCACAACCTGGATGCTTACACTACTAAATATTGTACAGCTCAGACTATATTTGTCACATATAACAATGTGCAGTTAAATTTGTTGTGTAAACTTGAGATGGCTGGATGAGAATCTACAAGTATCTATGTGGGGAAGAGATTTCTGATAGTAGAGGGCTGCTCAGTCTAGCAGATAAAGCTATAATGAGATCCAATGGCTGGAAGTTGAAACTAGACAAATTCAGACTAGAAAAAAAGGCACGTTCAGGGTAACTAACCATTGGAACAACTTACAAGGTAGGTGGCGGGTTCTTCATCACTTGAAGGCTTTAAGCCAAGACTGACTAGCTTTTTAAAAGAATTGCTATAGCTCAAACAGAAGCTGGGTTTCATGCAAAATGCATTGGATGAGGTCCTTTGGCCCGATGAGGTCAGACTAGATGGTCATAATGGTCCCTTCTGAACTTAAAATTATGAACTTTGTTGCCACATTACTTGCAAGAATTAAATGGAAAAAATTAAGCATGGATTTTGTTTCTAACACAAGACTTGTACTACAATTGTGGTAAAGGGTGGGAAAAGATGAATAGTTAATTGCAAATGTTCAAACATACGGTAACTTAAAATTCTATTTACTATTTTCAGGTACAAGATATTACCCTGGAGATGTTCCTAAACCACAAGATTAATCCTCAAGTCCGAATGATTGCTGCCTTTGTTCTGCTTGAAACCAAACCAGGTCTTCCTGTCTTGGTGACTTTAGCTAATGCTATGCTAAAAGAACCTAGCATGCAAGTGGCAACTTTCATCTTTACCTCCCTGAGGGCTCTGGGCAGAAGTACAGCTCCGGATCTCCAAGTCGTGTAAGGGCACTACACATTATTTCTCTAAAAGAGAAACTTGCTTTCCTGAAAACTGCAATGGAGATTTTAATATGGTACAATTCACTGAATCTTTCAGGGCCTCTGCCTGCAGAATGGCTATCAGAATACTCAGCCCCAAACTTGACAGACCTAGCTATCGATTCAGCAAAGATTTCCGCCTTAGTATGTTTAGAGGTAAGGCTCAAATTTCTCCATCTATATTAATCACCTGTAGGCTTTGAAATAAAATACACATAAGTTAAGGGTGGGAGGGGAATCATACAAGCCAATCATACAAGCCCAGTTCTACCCATAGATTCCTGAACTGCTTGTCAGTTGCACATTGCACCTGAAAATTCCTCTATCATCAGGAATATAATGTCATATCTAAGGATATTCCCTTTAAAGAGATTTATATCCCTGTGCATTTTACGTTGTACACAACCAGCCCAATATAGCTTCCATGATGGGCTAGGAACAATGCAGACATAGGCCAAGTTTTCAAACCATAGTTGGGCACCAAAACTGACCAAAACTGAATATAAGTGGTCTGATTTCTAAAAGTGCTGAGCCTCCACAACTCCCCCGAATTCAAATGCAGCTATGAATGTTCAACACTTCTGAAAATAGGTGCCCATCTTTAAATATTCAAGTTTGAAAATATTCAGACACAAACATTTCCTTTTCCCACAAACAACTAAGATTTACGTTCATAGATTTTGCTTGCACCATCATACCCTTAATTCTCCTATACAATACAGTAGATCCCTGCATGGGATCCTGTTGATATCCCACTCCTGTCAATGGGAGTTTCGTGCGCAGGTCATAGGCAGTGTATGGCCGTTAGCTGTATAAAGAGAGAAAGCATGATAAGAAGACACATGCTTGCTCAACCAAATTCTAGCTATTTTCATGCAAGTTTTATTTGATAATGGTGATTATTTAAGTGGTTCCCCGATACAAATGACCATGACAGCCCCAACAATTTGGCATATTTAGCTGGCAGACTAGGGGAATTATATCTATAAACACAGTCCCTCTGTATTTGGATGTTTTTATCACTTTTGTAACTTATCAGGATATTTAAAGCTATTTTTGTAAAAAATCAATGAAAAACAAGTCCCTGAAACATTCTAAACCTACAGTGACAAATGCTGATGTATTTTGTTGTTATTGATTATTATTATTATTAATTATTATTATTTTATTATTTTATTGCAACGCCTTGGTAGATCTTGTTACTGCTCTGCCTTTTTTTCATGGATTTTACATAGCCATTTAATCTGCTCTACAATGAAAATAAGTACAGTACATACCACAGTGACAACAGTAATATATGATACACATGCTTGCTACCTTGGAGACGCAGACAGAGAACGCCTGAAGAAATACAATCACTAATACGTGCTATGTGAACTTTTGTACTTTTTAAAATGCATTCAGGGAGATACTCTAGAAATTATTACAGAATTAAATAAAACACATTTATTAATATTTTAGGGTTTCATTTTTGAACATTGCTTTTTGTCAGCATTGTTTTTTTCCATCAATCTCTCAGTCTTCCTCGAGATATGCCATTTAGTCAGATACATTTATATGTATCCACATCTCTCCAGATATAGTGGCTACAGTGCATCATATGACTGTGCCAACACGATTTTGCATTGGTAAATATTGGTAAATATTTTCTCAGAAAACTAAAAATATTTGATACTCAAGCTGTATGAGTTACTGACACACGCTGATGGAAAATGTCCATGCTCTCTTCAAGTTAATACATTTTGTGTAATCATCTAATCATTTACAAGCAGCAATTCTTATTAAGTGTCAGTAGGTGCAATGTTTGGGTTAATGACAAGATTTCATGGCCTAGAATGTAGACAATATGCACTGTAACACGCATCAGTGGCTGGGTCATATAAAGGATAATAGAGTACTAATGCTACTAGCTAATGGACCTATCTCAATTGGTGGAGACCTGTGTTTCTGGTGTTGAAAGCCTCAGATTTACTCCTTAGTGGGTGATCCAATGTGGGATCATTACACACTAAAATGACATCTCTTGGCTGTATTGGAGACCGAACACAATTATATCTCCTGATGGCTTAGTTTGTTGCCTCCAGTCCTTTCTCCATTAGATTCCTGTGTTATGTAATGGGATTGCAGCAATATGGGGTCTCAGTAAAGTTTATTCAACTTTGTGCTGCATTGTTGGTGTAGTCTGGTCCTAAAGCCAGTTTAACAAGCATGTGGAGTATAATTCCAAAGTAAGGGTGATCCTCCAGTGGCAGAGATCTAACATAGGAGTTCTTCAGCCACTCACACTAGCTGCTGCTGGTGTAACAAGGGAAGAGTGTAGGAAAGGAGATGTAGTAGGGATGCCCCTATGCTATCCTGGTTCTCACATATGGTTTTGGTCTTCTTGTTGAAGCCCAATTTTTTTTAGAAGAGCCTTGAGGCTACTTTCACACAGCACAGGGACTAGACTGGGCAGAGCTGCACCAAGATCAAGGGAGTGCAAAGGAGAGTTTTAAACCACCTTAGCACAGAGCCATCTGACGTGTTCTGTACAAATTAACCATGCCCTAGGATCTGCCCCATTGTGTATGATAAACCTAGAGAACGGGAAATACATATAAATTACATTACTTTGTATTTACTTGACAGTTAACAATTACTGAGCAATTAGTGCCACTTCATGTAAGGAGTTACAACATTTATTACTAGATGTATTTAACTGCCTTAGAGTAATTTGGGAGACACGTCTACACCTCACCATCTGTCCTTATAGGACATCTATATCACTTTCCCATAACTGTTAGCAAAGGATGGCAAATCTGTTTCAATTCCTGATCCCCTTTGTCAAGTTACATTGAATGATGTCTTGTAAATGCACCTCATAAGCTGATGTTACAGAATCTGACCGGATGTAAATGATATAGCAGAAGCAATTGAAAAAATAGCATAATTGCTATGCAACGAGCAGGGGAGTTGTAATTTTGTCCATTAATAGTTCAAATATGCAGAATATTCTGTTTATGACAGTTTTATGACATCAGTTTTATTACTGGGATTTCTGGCCTCTCTCATGTCATGCTGTATTGCTCATATTATGCAATTAGTAAATTGATACAGTCTGCACTCTGTGGTTTTAAAAACTAACTGAGCTTGCGTTTTACTGTATATTTTCCTTTCTCTTTAGAGTCTCTTATGATTGGAATGGCAGCCCATTCATTGACACTGAATAATGTAGGCAGCATATTCCCATCAATAGCATTGTTCAAATTGAGGGCCCATTTCGTTGGACATATTGCTGAACCTTTGGAGGTAAATGGGCGTTCCCACAATTTTTCTCTGATTAATATCACTGTTTTTTTATCCCTCCCACACTTTTTTTCATTTCTGATTTACTTCTTTACGCAGGTGGGACTGAAAGTTGAAAGACTGCAGGAGATGTTAGCGAAAAGACACTTACCTGACAGTGATTCTGACAGTGCATTTGATGTGAGGGAAGTTCTGAAAACGGTGCGTTCACAGAAAAAAAATGTAGTAAGGGGTTAATCCTACCAATGCCAGGAACATTCTAACAAACTTCTTCTTGTCACACAGCTCTCTGACTGGAAGGCACAGTCCAGTGATAAACCTTTTGCATCAGGCTACATGAAGATGTTTGGACAAGAAATCCTCTCTGGTGCACTTGATAAGGATTCCATCCAAACTCTATTACAGGTAGCTCTTTGATAGTACCATCAGACACATGATCAAAAGGCATAAAATACTGTTTCTTTTTTTTTCTCTCTTTCCTTTTTTTTTAACTTTACACTCATGAGATGTTTTGCTGTAAGGATTTGATCATGTACAATAAGTTCAAACTTTGATCAATAGTGATTATAATCACTGCTGGCAGATTTTCTCCTGGAGCATAATTTGTGACATGGGCTATGATATTCAAGTTCTACTTATTTAAACAGGGCAAATCTATAATTGCAGGCATTGTATGGACCAGAAGAAAAAATTCCCTCAATAAAGAAATTCATAAATCATCTTCAAAGTGGTGTAGGGACCCAGTGGTCGAAAGCTTTGTTGTCTGCGGAAGTCCGTCGCATTGTGCCTATGTGTATTGGATTCCCAATGGAGACAAGCTTGTATCATGCTTCTTTCACAAATGTTGCAGGAAGTGGTAAGGCAAATTGAATATCAAGTGGTATGCAGGACTGCAAGGTACTTTTTACACAGTTTCATATTCTTTTCTTTCTTTACAATAGTTCAGGCACAGATTTCACCAACTCCAAGTTCCGATTTCAGACTGGCTGACTTACTTAATGCCAATATTAAAGTGCGATCCAAGCTGACCCTAAGGTAAACATTTAGTACAAAATAAAACGATCATATTTCCAAATGCACAGGGCAGTTGTAAGTATCTGTCAGCTGTTTACTGTATGCTTGCAACTTCACCATGTTGTTCTAATTTTTCAGCATGGTCAAGGACATGATCTTTGTAATGGGAACTAATACACACCTGTTCCAAGCTGGATTGGAGGCACATGCTAAAGCGAATATAAATATCCCTATGAACGTTGCGGCTACTCTGAATATTAAGGATAAGAATTTCAAATTGGAAATCCCACCATGCAGCCAGGAAACTGATGTTGTTACTCTAAGGTAAGCTGCATCCATTTTATGACTCGGATTTCTGAACTTTCTCATATCAGGTTGTATCAGTCATATTATGATGCTTTTGGTGATATTATATTATTTTTCTATGTAGTAATGCAGAAAGGAATCTTTTGAAAATAAAATGCATTTCCTTTTTAGGAATCACCCCATGCAAATAATTTGGCTGACTGGCACTGTCTGGCATAACTTACTTATTATAGAGTAAATGCCTTGAATCAAAAATTATGCTTATATAAATGCCACTTCTCTCCAGTGGTCTTCACTTGCTTTTCTCTTTTAAACCACTTTTAGGCCCAAATTGTTTATAACATTCATTTCATCATTTTTTTCTCTCAAATAACTACACAATATATATGTATTAAAAAGTTTGCATTTGAAAGCATAAGGTTAGGTTTAAGCAGAATGAACACCATTGATTATAATTGGAATACATTGCTAATCACACACACATACACACATTCAATGTTTTAAAATTGTACAGAATTCAGCATTTCTTGTGTTTTTATCTGGTTTTCCTGTGGTGGGCATTTGATCTTCTTGCCTGATTGGTCTACTTGATTTACTACCATTCATGCAACTGCAAAACACTCTGGAAAACTATTGCAGCCAGATGCAACGAACCAAAACCAGATAGAAATACAAGCACAAAGAGAGGCAGGGAGGGGGGAAAAAGAGAGTGTCCAAGGAATCAAAGCAGCAGACCAAAGCTTAGGAAAATGTTCACATACAAAAGACACAGATAGCCAGGCTGAAAATTCATCACAAAGGAGAAGTGCCAGCAACAACAGAAATCTACAGTGCCCAGAAATGTTAACAAGTTTCTGTTCTAGGAATATAGCAGCAATGAAAGAATTCAGTGTTTGACCCACCTGAAGTTAGCATTCATGGCTGCTGGCTCCTGGAAGCTCTGCAGGCCTCTTCAGTTTAGCAGTCATGGAGGCTGATCATTATTCGCCCTTAAAAGTCCCCTCTCCCTATTATGGTCGCAAACTGTCTTATTAGACATTCTGTATTACACCCTCCTCCAAGCGTGAATCCTTCACTCTATCAAGAGTGATCATAACCAGGTTCTCCACAATGACTTTGGGGGTTCCAGTGAACATGCTCAGGAAGCATTCCAGATGCCTAAACAAAGGGGCGAGTTCTTCCACAGTTGACAGAGCATCAGTTATCTGTGCAAGAGCTTCAAAGGGGTCATGGCCCAAAGTTGTTTGTTCAGTCTCTTGCATGGACCACACGTTCATTCCTGAGATCAGCTAGAAAGGGATATTTATGCCAAACACTCTGAGTGGGTTCCAGTGTGGGACAGGTTAAAAGGAATATTAAGGAAATAAATAATAATAATGAATATTAATAATAATGCTGAGCATTTACCTGGAGCTTCAAATTGTTATACAAACTTTAACTAATGTACAACACTCCTGCAAAACGAGATAGTTATTTTCCTTGTCTGTCAGAAAAGGAAACTTAGACACAGAAATGTTAAATGACTTGTTCCAGGTCAGAGAGTGAGCCAGCATTAGAACGGTGGGATTAGAACTCAGGAGCCACACTTTCCTATTCAAACCACTTCCCCTTGCTCACCTCTGAGTATCAAAGCACAGTAAATTATATGTCACCTGAAATCATCTTAGATAGAAATAATTAGATAATGCCTAATCAAACACATACATTAATGGTATAGACTCTAGCAAAGATGAGCAAAGTTTTATCACCATCAATTTTTCTTATGCTTATAAAAGAATTTCAAAACTATGCTACAAAACAAGTGAGTAATGGCATATGCACTCAGAATGAAACAATGTGCACATAAGGGGAATGATCAGAGAACAAAAGATTGAACCATGTCACCAACGTACTTCTGGGACAGGTAAAATCTTAAATGTAAAAGGAAAAATATTAAATCAATATATGGAGAATTAGCAGGAAATCTTAATTTAATATGGATTTGTTTTGCATGATATTTTGAATAGTTCAGTGCTTCCTGTCAAGTTAGAAGAAATCTATTGGATTCAATATTTTGGAAATTTTCTGACACTATTTACCTTTGTATCCTCTGTTAAAGAAACCACAGGGAATGGTTCTTAAGGGGAAGCTGAGAAGTTGGAGGTGTTTGCTATTTAGAGCCATTTGTGAGCAGCCTTCATAATGAAACTATATTTTACAATATGGCACTTTGACTCAGTCTTTATGGACTTCACAGTCAGTGAGCTACCTAGGCAGCATAGAAACACAGGGCTGAAAGAGACCTTAAAAAGTCACCTAGTCCAACCAACTTGCACTGAGAGCTTACAGTGACATTACAGATAGTGAGAAGATAGTTGGCTGCATGGGTAAGCTAGCATGACTGTCTCCTGGCACTCATGCTTTGAGAGCGACCAGACTTCCATGGGCATGTAACTGTGAGTAAAATCTGGTTCAATATTATCTAGGCTGGTACACCATTTCTGTGAGAATGGTGAGATGCATGAGACTCCAGCAGCAAATAAAAACCCAGATGAGAAATCACTGACTTTTGAAGAATTGATTTAAAGTGTTGATGATAAAGACACTGAAGCCCCAAGACAAGACAGCAAATTTAGGACTCAGACTCCCTTTTCAACACATATCACAACTACCCATTAATAATACTACATGAAAAATACAAAGCGTTTGTTTCAATCCAATCCAATCAAAGTTAAACTGAATTTGAGAAACAATACAAACCCTAGGTATTTTTAAAACCTTTTCCACACACTTATTGGGTTTTGCATATTTATTGGTATTATATTCAGCTTGCCAGCAGATGGCCACTTAAAAACATATTTTTTCCTATAACATTTACAGGAAGAAATGTAAATAAACTTTGGGGAAAATCAGAGCCTTGTGCTTAAAGTATATGTATGGAGAGATGCCAGAGAATGCACTCTTTGAAAATGTATCTCATATTCATAATGACAAGCTATTGAAATATATACATTCGCTTGCATAGTGCTGTGTCCCAGTTTTTTAAAAATTGTAGGTTGGCCTGGCAGAAATTGCTTCACAGGAGCCTCTTATAAATAAGATTAATGACAGAATTGCACAATTTTATGTGACATGGGATAATTTCACTCTCCTAGGAAGGAGTACACAAGTGGGCCAGTGTGTCGTACAGGACATTACTAAGGAGATGTGGTGTGCATGTGTGGGAGGGAAGTTCCATACCAGTTCAAAACTTTATTTTTTTAACATTCTTGTGCCAGATTCTGAATTAATTTTTCCTGGTATTAATCAAGAGTAATTCTGTGGATTTCAACGGAGGTACTTTGGCTTTTCACTGGTGCAAATGAGATCAGAATTTGGCCATAGGGTTGTTACTTGCGTATCATTTATGTAGTTCTTATAGGTAGTGTTTTAAAATGAATAAAGACTTTTTAAATAATGAAACATATTCATATATAGCTCTTATTTTCTTTTTTCTATGCTAGTACTTAGGACAACACTCGCTGCTGACATAAATGGGCCCAGTTCAACAGAATCCACCCCCCCCCCACGCACACGCACACACATTGAATTTGGCTGATATTATATCACAGATAAATGAACAGCTTCTTCTGTTATCCAAGAAATACACTAATACATATATTGGAAAATCTCCCTTTTATTTTCTCCCTTGTGTGGGATCACAGAGAACAGATTCTTTCATATCATAGCTGTAGGCCCTCTTTGTAACTGTTTTTTTCTTGTTAAAGAGCCAGAGTTGGCTCTTACAGCCTATTTTTACTGTGCTGTGTGATTCTGCAGACATTGACATGTGTCACCTCTGATGCAGCTGCATTGTCAGCTCTCTGAGCACAACAGGGAGGAATTGATCCTCCGCTTTCATTAGGTGGCAGGAGTAGACTATTGGCATAAAAAAATAATACTTAAAAAAAAAAGGAATAGGAGAGCTTTGTGCCTGGAGACCCAGCCTGCTGTTCGGTGGTCATTTAAATTATTGAATGGGCCTGAAATAAAAGCCATTTGCTTTTTCCTTTGTCTCCCTTATCCAGATGAGCCATCTGAAATGCATGTTGATTTGTATTTTCTTTTATCCACTCAGCTTGTTAGGAAGAATATTTCACTTCAGATTCCATTCTTCAAGGTTCTACTCACGCTCAGCATGGAGCGTTGCTGTCATGTCCTTATCTAAAATGGGAGAGCAGGAAAAGCAAACAAAGCCCCCCTGGGTGACACGTGTTTTATTGAGGTGTTCCACATGAAGTGCAATTGTGTGCTTTACAGTGCACGCAGCATGGCAAGAGTCTTCAAGAGGAAGAGAGCACCATCAAATGAATACAAATTCACCTTTCAAATAGGGAAGATTGAGAGCGCTCAGATTTTCACACAGTGTGGACCTCATTATAGTAGAGATCATCTCATAGGCCATCTCCCCATTCGCGGTCAGGCAGGCCACCTCCTCTCATTCACAATCCCATAACAACCCTGTGGTAGCTCCGGCAATTGGTGACATGAAAAAGAAACATTAGGAGAGTACATAAGGTATTTTTAGTTGTATTTTAATGCTATTAAACAGCTAGAAATAAAGAGCAAGCACCAGAGGTAAGATCCTCATCTCTGTGTGGGCCCCCTTACACCTGGTAAAAGGGCTGGAGAGGTGTAAAGGGACCTTAAAAGCCCCACATCTGGCTGGGGGAGGATTCTCCAGGCCATGGAGCAGCCCAGGATTGGGAAGGCACAAAGGTGGCTTAAAGCCACCTCAGCCCCCTTCTCATTCTGAGCCTCTAAGGGGTGCAATACAGAATCTCATCCCATGTTACTAGTACCAGATCTGAGTGCTCTTGGCCCACCAGCAGTCCATAAACAACAGCTTAGGAACCTCGGTACTGAATATTATTATGTAAATAAAGTTCTGAACATTCCTGGTCTGGGAAAAGCAATGATTCTAGCAATAATGCAGTTGCAGCAAGTTGCGGATGTCTTGCTCAGGTGACTCTCGGCGCCTCTCTTCAATGGCATTTTTAATAAATGTCACACAAGAATTTACATTTCATGGCGTACTTTCCCTGGTGTTTATTATTTTTAATTATAAAAAAGAGAGGATGAAGTAACAGTTTAGAAACAAGCATCCCAAGTGCTAGTCTTTTCTAGGCTATGTACAATTTTGAAAATTAAAAAGAAGGCCGTAATTTCCAAACTTGGGAGCCAAAAGCTAAGCAATTAAATCCATAGCTAGACACCAAACTAAGTGGCCCCGTTTTCCAATGTGCTTACATGCACAGAGCCCACTGCTTTCAATGATTGCACCCAACTTTGAAAATGTTGGTCTACATTTCTCTGCAGCCTTTATAGGGCTTGACAATCTCACTAGCAGGATGACATCTGTAAATATCTGTGAAGTAATTTGCAAGGTAGGATGTTTGTTGCTAAGTACACGCCACAAGATATAATTCAGATCTTTTCCTCAGAAGTGCTTATCGATACAACATTCCCCTTCATGTTTATTCTGCAGGTCTAAGACGTATGCTGTTACACGAAATCTTGAAGACTTAGCTGCCACTAAGATGACGCCAGTTCTTCTACCTGAGGCAGTGCCTGACATAATGAAGCTGTCCTTCGATTCAGGTTCCGCATCAAGCGAGAGTGATAAAATAAGGGTAACACATATTGGATTTTGAACACTCCTTTTGTTTTTTTGATCTGTGTAAGATTATCTCCTTTATCCAGAAGTGAATTTGTATTAATGATTTCTGACCCATTATTTTTTTCAAAATGAGTCAAGTACAACCTTCGGACAAAAATAACCCAATAGTAATGATATAACAAAAATCTGGAATTTAATCACAGTGTCAGGCTAACATAATTGTGTTTAGAAACTATAACATTGTCTTGAATAATTAATTTTTGCAATTTCCTATGGGAAAGGCCCACAACCCTTTAAATGCATTGTAACTCTCATGTAGCCTTCCTGTAAATTAACAGAGGGTTAGAAAATGTTCCATGCGGCAACAGGTGGATTATTTAACAAGTAGAACTGAAATTTGATGTTGAGGAATGGGGCATTTCTGGTTCAGGGATGAATGTCTGTTTTTGTGACAAGTCAAATGACTGACTATAATTCCATTTTGGGGACACAGTTTTCAGTAAGGGCTTTCTAGTTCAGCGTCTTCGTGATGCTCTAGTAACATATAAGAGACACAATGGCCCTGTGGAGAATTCCTCCAATGCAAGAGCAACAAGGGATGGTGTACAAAACACTGTACTGTCCCCCTCACAGCCTCTGTCAGAGGGGTATGTTGGCAATTGGTTCATGGATGGGATGGGGGTCCAAAGGAGAGTGGCCATAGTGCTTTGCTGTGGCAAAGCCTATAGGCAATCATGGGGAGGCTGCTATAAGTACTCCTGGGAGGATTCTGTGCCAAAAAATGAAAAACTCTGCACACAATATTTTCAAATTCTGCAAAATTCTGCATATTTTATTTGTCAAAATAACTCAATATAATCACACCCGTTTCAATTATTTTTGGTCATTTATTTCAAAATACCTGTCAGCAAGTATGTGTGTAACAGACAAAAAAAGATTCAGAAAATGTTTTTTGACAAATAGATTACTTTGCATATTAAGACAGAACTCTGAGTAATAATTTGTTTAAACTACAATACAGAACCATATTTCCCACGTGCCCCAGAGGCAGTGCAAAGGCTGGGGGGAGTCGGGGTAATGGAGGATCTGAGTGAAAGGGAAATAATTGCTGACAAGGAGCCTGGGTGTGAACTTGGAAGGTTGTTGGGTATGGGTGGGAAAAGTATGGAACGGGGGTTTTTTGGGGGGCGGGCAGGGAGAGGGACTGTTAGGGAGCTTCCCCCATACAGATCCTGGCTGACCCATAGCCTCCTCCATTCAGTCAGGCACATTTGTCCCTCCACCACCACTTAAGACACCCACTCCCCACATCCCTGTGTGTCCTTGCACCCCCTGTCCACATGTGTCCCCCCACCTGCACTCAGACATCTACTCTCCCCATCTCCATGTGGCCCTGCACCCCCGCCTCATCTCCATGTGTATCTATGCCCCCATTCAGACACCCTATGTCCCTATGTAGCTCTGCACCCCCTCCCCATCACCATGTGGCCCTGCACCTCCCTTCCCCCTGTGGCCCTATGCCTCCACTCCCATTCAGCTCCTGCCCCAGTCTATCCTCCCCCACTAGCCCTTATGAGCCCTTGTCTGACCCCGCCAGCATTCATGCTGTCTGTCTCCTCATAGCCCCTATCTCCTGACCTGGCCTGCTGTGAAGAAGGCTCTTTTCTTCCCTATCTGGCTGGGAGCTGCTGCTGTGTTCTAGCGCCACAAAAGGCAGAACTGCAGCAAAAAAATAAAAATATGCATGGCTCACTAATTATGCATGCATGCAGTGGTGCAGAATTCCCCCAGGAGTATATAAGGTGGAGCAGCCCCTGTGGCACTGAAACAAGCTGAATCCTCCTAGTCTGTGTCTCTCTGCTGCATCTGCGGAGAGCTGCAGCACAGAATCTGGCCCTGACTGTTGAACTGACACTAAATGAACAGTAACTAAATGATAAGCCTAACTTGAACGATTCCCAGCATAGTTGGAATTTACCTACAAAAGAAAGAGCTACCATTAAAAGCTGTATTTTTAGAGTATGCCTCTGACAACTCAGGAATCTTGTCAGGCAGTCCACAAAAATGTGAAGTATTTACTCATTTATGAAAAAGTAAAATTGGTTGTAAATCTTTTACTACATTTAAAGAGGCACTATGCACCTGGCTGGTGGAAACTCATGGTTCTGTCCCTTTAGCTGTTAGCTTCATTGATCAGGGAAACCATAAATTGCATTGCACAGATTTAGTTCCAACCTCTTAACTGTAATTCATTGGGTCCTTTGGAACCATTGTTTGCCATATATGGAATGCTTAGGGGAAGCACTTTCTAATGTCATCCACTATGGCCATCTAGGAGATCTTTGTGGCTTTCTTAGCTGATGAAACCTGTAGTCTTTATTAGAACCCTATCAAGGCAAATGCTCCATTGACTTGAGTAAGGGCTCCACAATTTGGCTCAATGTTTATTGTAGGACAGAATTCCATACTATAAATTTCTTTTTGTCTAGAACTTCTACAGTCATTATAGGGTTACCGAGATTCTGGGATTCAGTGAACACAGCTTGAATCACTGAACAAACAAAGCCAAATAAAATAATTAGCACGATTAGGTGGAACTCCATTTTCCAGCCTTAAATCCTGATGCTCCTTCCCCTTCTATTCTAAATAGATACCATAAACGTGAGATGACATGGCCTACTTGACCATGAGATGACATGGCCAATTTGACCAGCTGACAACAAGGTCATTCCATGTCAGACGACCAGAATCTCAAGCAAATCAATTAATCACCTCTATAAAACATACAGGAATCTATTCTTAAAACAGGAGACTTAACAATTTGATGATATTTTTTTATTATTGGCATCACAGAATCTAACATTGACATGTGTTTATTACACAATAGGGTAGACTGTCTTCAGAAATCATTTCAACAGGAAACATCTATTCAGCTGGACAATCATCCCAACAGAAAGTACCATCTGTTCGTTCCATGTGCTTCAATGCAAGTACATTTGGAGTTGAAATTTGCGCAGAAAGGAAAAGTGTGAATGCTGCATTTATCAGAAAGGCTCCTCTCTATTATCTGGTTGGGGAGAATGCTTTTAAACTTACCTGCAAACCAGGTAAATACTATTGTCTTGAGAGAAACTAATAAATATTTGTCTTTCTATCTTAGGCACTTTCATGGCTCCTATTCATGGCCCTTAGTATCTCAGCACCTTACAATATTTAATATATTTATTGTCACGACACTCCAGAGAGACTAAATGACTAGTCCATGGTCATACATGAAACCTGTAACAGAGAAAGATATTGAACAAAGGTTTCCCAAGTCCCAGGCTAATGGCCTGAACTCTGGACCATCCTTTAAATGTCCAGAGGCAAGCACAATATCTAATTAATTAATATATAAACACAGAAATTCATGTTAATTTGTCAAGACCGATATGGCAACAAATGTGTAATTCTCTTATCAGAGCTGTTGCCAAGTAAGGCACTGCCAATAAACTCTGGTAAAAAAAAGCAATTTATTCCAGTGACCTGGATGTGCTGACTGGATTATCTGCAATTTTTTATTCACTTGAAATGAATCTAGCGTCATGCTCAACACTGAAAAATGTATGTAAGTTCAATTTGCATGACACACTATCGAAGTCACTAAATACCAGAAATATCCATTTTCACCAAATGCAAATATAACTGCAAAAAAAATGTTGCTTTATCTCCCACATACAATATAAAAGCAGAAATTGGCACATTCTGGGCTATTGTAGTCCTCTACTGCTATTAACAACAAAAAACAGTAACAATACTGTTATACAATACTACGGCTAGTGTAGTCCTCTACTGCTATTAATAACAATAACCAGCAACAGTGATATTAATTGCCATGTAATGTCAGTCCATACAGGGTCATCAATTGAGAAAATACAAGTAACAATCCAAGCAGGTGCTCAGGCTGCTGCGAAAATGGTGCGTTTAGTAAAATTTGAAGACACAGAAACGGAACTAGCTTCTGGCAAAGAGGCAATTAAAAAACTGAAGAAAATCCTTGATGATCCCACAGTCCAGACCCAGGTACTTATCTAATATATACACTTCTAGACTTGCAGGGGACAATATACACACACTTAGTACACTCTTAATAGTAAATAAAGTGACAATAACAAGACAAACTTAGTACTTTAGATAGTGTAGGAAATAACATCATACAGTATTAACTTCAGTCATGCATAATTCTATGCACCATAACTTCTACATATAGTCATCTAAATGTATTGGTTTAGAGCACCATCCCATGTGGACATCACTAAAATATGTTATAAACAGAGATGAAGTCTCTACTTGGGGACGAGACCTTGCTTTCTGAAGGACAACAGAAAGACTTCTTTCTCTCAGAAGAGCATTTTACTTAAAAACTTCCGCAAGTGAACAGAATAATAATTGTCTTTCTCTGCTCATGTCTTCTACTAGGAAAAATCACTCGTTATCCGAAAAGACAGAAAATCATCATCCAGCTCTAGCAGCAGCAGCAGCAGCAGCAGCAGCAGCAACAGTAGCTCCAGCTCATCCAGCAGCCAGTCCAGCAGTGATTCTCAGCGTGACCAGATCAATCTGAAGAAGAAAGATGTATCTTCCTTTGACGATTCATTGGGCCCACCAAGCAAGAAACAGCAGAAGGGGCATCAAGAACATGAGCAGAAAGGGCCCCGCAGCAAAGGGCATTCTAAAACCAAAGGAAAGAAGTTATCTCCATTTGGGAAAAGCAGCAGCAGCAGTAGCAGCAGCAGCAGCAGCAGTAGCAGCAGCAGCAAAGCTGATGGAGGAAAACATACAGCTAAGACACATTCTAAGAAACCACCTACTGTACACGCTACTAGTGCCGATCAAGAGAGAGGTTTTCACGAGAAGAAACATTCCAAGGCTGCACGCAAACAGCAGAGCAGCTCTAGCAGCAGCAGCAGCAGCAGCAGCAGTGAAACCACCACCGGCAGACCCAGCAGCAGCAGCAGCAGCAGCAGCAGCAGCAGTGAAAATGCTGATAAAGCTCGCTACGATGCCAAGAAGCGTTCCAAGGAGTCGTATCCTTTCAGCAAAACTGATAGAAAAGATGAGAGGAAACATGCTAAGTCTCAATACACCAGTCGCAGCAGTTATGACTCATCTGGAGATTGGGTAACCATCTTTAATGTATCATAGTTGAATGTGATCTGATTCTTGTTGAATCATTGCAGGCAATAATTTGTTTTGGAATTTTGCAGGAACAGCACGTTCCAGAAATGTACCGACTCCGCTTCAAGTCCCATTTGGTAAGTCCAACATTTAAGTGTTTACTTTAATGATCATTAAACTAAGAAGTGAAGTAGATATTAGAACAAACCCATATAGCTCTGTGCCAGGAAGATTGACAATAGATGCTGATTTTGAGCTGAGGCAGCTAGTGAGAAAAATTCAGAGAGAAGAGGGAAAATATTCACATAGTGTTCATTGATCTTTGCCCAAGTTCCCAGGAAAGTCATCCAGAGGCGTACGAGGGAGAAAATGATACCGAACTTTGTGTGCAGTTTGTTAAAGCCATATATGTAGGTGCAATGTCAACAGTCAAAACTTCCTAGTAGTGAAAGAGAAGAATGATCGGTAAAGGTGGGAGTGCATCAGGGATCAGCATTGAGCCCTTTCTTGTTTATCCTCATCCTGGATACCCTTACAAGGAACATACAAAAGAAGGAGGCACTTTGGTGCATGTTGTTTGCAGATTATATCATTCTACGCAGTGAGAAGAAAGATAGTCTAGAAGAGGATCTTTATAAATAGAGAGATGTGTAGGAGAGACTTGGACTCAAAATAAGCAGAGGAAAAACAATATATGGTATGTAATTTTACTAATGTGATCACTGAAGAATTATTCCTACAACTAGATGGACAGACAATACCAAAACCACAAAATGTCAAGTATCTGGGTTCCAGAAAATGGGGAAGTAGAGGATGAAATTAGAGCTAGGGTAATAAATGCCTGGCTCAAATGGAGATAGATAAGTGGTGTAATATGTGGCAGGAAGATACCAGTAAGATTAAAAGGGAAGTCTATAAAACTAGTCCATCCAGTTTTAAAGTCTGGCACTGAGGGTTGGGCTTCAAAGAAGAAATATGAGCAAGTGATCTTTTCCACAGAAAAATGTGAATGTTGAGATGGATGAGTGGCATAAGTAAGAAAGACCACATGAGGAATGTGTATGTTTCATACATTCTCAAAATAATTCTTATAAATGAAAAAAATGAGGGAGTGCAGGCTCAGTTGGTTTGATCGTGTAAAGGACAGTCTTGACAACTGTACGAGTAAGAGAGTCCAACAGATGAAGATTGAAGGAAAGAGACAGAGAGGCTGACTCAAGGAAAAGTTGTGGGATGTCATAAGGGAAGACATATTAGCATGTGATGTGATAGAGTATATGGCATTAAACAGAGCACTTTGGAGGGAGAGAACTTGTAGAGCAGTTACTGGGAAGATGGGAGGAGAAAAATGACTTTTATGTTCATTTCACGTGGACATTCTGAAGAGTGAGTGACCCCAAATGATTTAATATCCAATGTCAGAATGTGAAGAATACTATGGTGTCATCTAGAGCAGCCACAATGGACTGGTAATCATTTTTATTATTGATAATATTATTATAATACCTGCATATTGCTGTAGTCCTAGAAGCCTCAACAAGATCAAGGCTATTCTGAGTTAGGTGGTGTAGAACCATATAGTAAATAACAAGCAGGCGTGGCATGTTGGGGGGGGGGGGAGAAAGGGATAACAAAATAATAAGATATTTTAGCACAGACTAGCTATGTGCAGAATTCTTAGACAATCAGTAGCAGTAATAAGAGCTTGCCACCTGCCTAGACATTATCAGAAGGCAGATTCTGTGTGCATCACAGCAGAGGTGAGTTTTAAGGAGGTACTTAAATGAGGAGGAAAATGTGGTGGCTTTATGGATTCTTCCTGTAAAGTTCTTGTTATTAGGGCTGGTCACAAAATAGGAAAATGGTTTTGTGAAATTTGTAATGAAAAAATCCTGCCCTTTTTTATACAAATAAAATATTTTTAACCAGCTCTAGTTTTATAATGATATTTTACACTGTTTAGGTGCCTCCGTGTGACATAGTATCTGATTACTGACACAAGAGCTTCCAGTTAGGAGAGGAAGTTTTCATCAGGGCCGGCACTTCCATTTAGGCAACCTAGGCGGTCGCCTAGGGCACCAGGATTTGGGGGGGCGGCAATTCGGCGGCGGGGGGGTCCTTCCGCACTCCGGGTCTTCGGCGGCAATTCTGCGGCGGGTCCTTCACTCCGAAGTGCCCCGAAGACCGGGAGCGCGGAAGGACCCCCCCGCCGCAGAATTGCCACCGACAATCGGGAGCACGGAAGGACCCCCGCCTAGGGCGCCAAAAACCCTGGCGCCGCTCCTGGTTTTCATGATAAGAGCTGGATTTGGCCAAATACCTATCATACAGTCTTTTACCTATTTCTCTTCTACAGAATCCAGATCAGGCGTCGTCAAGCAGCTCATCATCATCATCTTCCCCTCAGTCAGGCAGCAGCAGCAGCTCCAGCGACAGTACCAGCAGCAGCACCAGAGAGAGTAGCAGCAGCAGCAGGAACAGCAGCAGCAGCAGCAGCAGTAGTAGCAGTAGCAGCAGCAGCAGCAGCAGCAGCGATTCTAGCTTTGCACATGAGGTGAAATTTTATCTTTGCCTGGGAATTAGACTGCGTAAGGGGCATTGTTGACCTTGCCTGTGCCTCTAGCCATTAACCCCAATGAGTCATTGCTCTTCGGAAATTGCCCTACAGGGAGATCTTTTTTTTTTTTTTACACGCTGAAAACCAGAAATGATTTCTTTCCTGTGAAAAATTGTGACAAAGATTTTTAAAGTTCCTTTCTTGACTAAATTTTTCAATATTTTTTTTTTTTTTTGAGTTTTCAGCAGTCAAAAACTTTCAAAGAAAAGTTTCCTTTTGGGTGGCTAGAAATGGAAAGATTTTCAATTTTTTTAATGAAAACTCCAAAATTAAAATTTTTGGTGAAAATTTCCATGTCATTAATAAGGTATTTTCCATCAAAAACTGTTTTGACAGAAAATTTTCAACCAGCTCTACTGAAAAACACAACTTAGGCATGTGTCCTATATAATTTATATATTCATTGAGAATATGAAAAAAACCCACCTATTCATTTAAATGTTAAATCCTGGTTTTGCAGTGCTTACTCTCCAGAGTAGAGTCACGGAATTCATCAGTGTAAGTCCAGTGTAACAGAGACAAAATCTGGCCATGTGCTCAGTAAAACTGATCCATTACTTTTAGAGAGAAACAAACATTTCTGTAAGCACCAATTAGCTCACTAACTGTTCACAATCCTTAGTGTGGTATTCTGAATCCATTCCAAGTAATTGTATCTTAATAATAATATACCAGCCTGGCCCAAATACATAGTGAAATATCCAAAGGATTCATAATATTGTATGAATACTGCAATTAATAAGGAACTCACATCTCTCATTATGGCTCAAAGGAGTTGCTTCTGAATGAATATATTGCTATGGTAATATCCAATGTTCTAGAAATCGATTAAATATTAAAAATAATACACAAGATCTTAATAAGTCCATTGACATGTCTTAAGTAAGTCGTGGCTCTTGTGTCAAGACAACTGCATCTTTTTAAAATTCTTTATTCTACTGAAATAAAAAAGGAGAATAACCCACCAAAACTTACACTGAAATAACAATAAGAGTCTGGAACTATGTTCATTCTCAACCAGCCCAGGCTCTGTACTGATGTACAGCTATCGGTGCAGTACGAAATGAATCCAACGTTCACCACTGAATATACATGTGCGTTTAAGCATTGCCATTTTTGTTTTGTTTTTCAGCCCAATTTCCTGGGAGACGTACTTCCACCTGGGCTCACCATTGTGGCTCGGGCAGTTAGGAGTGACAACAAAAATCAAGGTTACCAAGCCACAGCATATATTAACTCTGCTGCTGCCAAAGTCGATATGCAACTGGTTGTGGTTCAGCTTGCTGAAACTAACTGGAAAGCGTGTGCTGATTCTGTAGTATTGCCTCTCAAAGCACAGGTAAAGATACAACTAGCTCCACCAAGTGAGAGCTTTAAAAGGCCCCTCAGTATCAAATAACCAGATGGCTATACTGATTAGAGATGGTCAAACAAGGAAGACAAATTTTCCTGGAATTTTTGGCAAATATTTTTCATCAAAATTTTGAATTTTTGAAAAAATGCAACCACTGAAAAACAGGAAAATAAATTTGTGAAAATTTTCAAAATTTGTTTGAAAAACATTTGTAGCTAAATTTTCAAAATTTGAAAATGTTTGAACAGCTCAAGTGCCAGTTTACACCAGCTGAGGATCTGGCTCATTCCTTTCTTTATACATGCATTTCAAATGACAGCCACTTCAAATGTTGTATGCAGCATAGTTGTTATGTCGGTCCAAGGATATTAGAGAGACAAGGTGTTCCATCTTGCATTTGGCTGTGCTGCTCAGAGTACCTTCCCCAGAGTTGAAGAAGAGCTCTGTGTGGCTCAAAAGCAGAAATTGGCCCAATACAAAATTTTACCTCACCCACCTTGCCACTTCAAGGACATTTTGTTTCCTTCTTTCCATATAAGAGAGGTGCTGAAGTCATGTTGGGTGTTCAGTTGATGCCTGAAAGCATTGGAATTAGGGCACTGTGTTTGCAGTTTCTATTTTCAAGCCTCTCCAAACAGCAATGCCCACATGCCCCAGTCGTGGAAGCCTTCATCTGCAGAGCTATGTACGTGTACAGTGATCTCCAGACTTCTGCATTTTGTGGCTGCAGTTTCAAAATTTCATCAGAATTGTCAGTAGTGAAAATTGTTTATCTTTGCAAAACCAGACATTTTTGTAAAAGTAAACTTTCTAGAGGAGCATGCCATTTCTTTTTTAAATATACAGATTGGTGATGAATTTGCAAAATGTAATGAATCTCAGCAAAATGTCACACTGCAGAATTCTAGGTCATGTTTCAGTGCAAGATTTTGAACGTTCAAAATGAGAACATTCAGCCTGGCCTACCACCCTTACCATTCATCCCCATATTCCTCCAGATGTAGCCAAAGCTCCTCCACAAGTATATTTAGTGAATGAGTTAGGAGCATTGAAGACTTCACTGAAGTTTCATAACAAGATCATGTATTTTGATATGATGACAGATTTTTTTTATATGATTTCATTTCCAAAATTCTAATGACTTTTTCTCTTCCTCATAAAGGCCAGGTTCAGGTGGGGCAAGGAATGCCGGGAGTATAGAATTGAAGCAAGAGCTTCCACAGGCCGAATTTCAAGGAATCCAGCTGTACAGGTGAAGCTGGCTTGGACAAAACTTCCATCCTGGATAAGGAGGACAACTATAACGTATGCAGTCTGCTATCTTGTCATTTGTTGTGTTGTTCTTGTTATATTGGTTGGTGTTATGAAGGTTCTGAGTATGTCACATCTTGTTTATCTCTAGAACTATGGAATTTGTTCCTGGAATAGCATACCTGATGGGCTTCTCAGAAGTGTATCAGAAAAATCCTTCTCAGGAACTTGTAGTAAGAGCAGTTGCAACTTCATCACGGACAATTAATACAGTCATAAAGGCTCCGGGGGTATGTGGACCTTTTGTTTGTTTGTTTGTTTTTCCAAATATACTTTCTAGTTGTATAGTTTGACTTTGGGTAATACATCTAGGCTAATTCTGAGAAAGGAAAAATGCAGAACCTTACCTCCTACACGAGCTACCGTAGATCCTGAATACACCGGGCTTGATCCTGTAGTGTGCCATAAAGCACAAGATAAAAACGTGATCAGCATTACTAGAAGTTCTTGGGACCTCGATGCTTTCATTATGAAAGAGCCACCAACTGCACAGGACCAACTCAGTCTGGCCTGCGGAGTAATGCCCAAAGGGGAAGCCTGTAGCCAAATGCTTCATTTGTATGCGGAGGGTAGCACTGAAGCTGATATCTCCTCAGATATGCCCATCCTGCCCACACACTTTGCTTGTTTTTATCCTGGGCTCTCAGGAGTACGGGGTGTGTGACTTACAAAGGATGCATTGAGGAAGACTATAGCTAGTGCTTAACCTTACTTGCACCTATATCCTAACTGGTGCTGGAGTCCTACAGCCCGGTACTTCTTGGAGTCCATTACTCACCGATCAAACCTTGGAACTCCCAAATGAAGCACTTCTCTGAACAAACAAGAAGGGGTATGTTTTGCCAGCAGCCTGCACAGATGTAGTCTGCAGACTCCAACTGATTAATTGGGCTTTGTCCACTAAATCCCTGTGCATCTTTATGAAAAATGTCCCCTAGTGGGTCTGGTGTAATTTAACAACAGCTTGGCTTTCCATAAAGGAAATAAGTGTGTCCTTAACCTACCCTTGTACTTCAATTTTCCAGGGGGTTTTCATATGTGATAATGAGGGAGTGGTGTATGACCTGTTTATCTAGATATATTTAATGTGTCTTTCTCTATGGTATGCGAACTTAACCAAAATCACATCAAGCCAACTTTCATTCTGTAAGACTGCCAGCTAACACATGCTCTTTAGTCTGCTGTACCTAGTTGCAGTGGGACAGGATAAGGCAGAGAGAACTTATTATTCAGCCACCCTGTGGAGTGGTGGTTTGTTTGGTTTGGTTTTTCGTTTTAAGGAAGTCATTTAACAATACCGTAAACATCATCTGTGCATCTTAATTCCCTATGTCTTTAAATAATCGTTTAAAGATAATCTCTCAAGAAAATGTACAAGTGATAATAAAATAAAAGATAATGAGCTCATAAAAATATATATGTTAGGTTTGGGTGCCCACAATGTCCTGGGAAGACTGTAATGACTCCAGTTATACAAATACATATTTAGGGAATTTTTAACAAGGGGGGCCTTTTTGCTTGTTATGATTGACCAAATTGTATGACTAAACATATCCTAAAGCCTTTTCATTGCTTCTTTTTCAGCTAACCTTTTACTATGAGGCTTTCCCACTTCCATTTGCTTTGCCTGTGAGCCCAGCTCCAGCTTCTCAGGCTCCAGAAGTGACTGCTTGGAATTTCCTTCCAGAAATATCTTCACTGATAGCTAAAGAAGATCAATGTAAATGTTACTTCAGTACTGGTCTAGTCCCTGATAAATGAGCAATGGTTATTTGTAATAGTTAAAACTTGGCCCCTCCGGTGACTCTGTCTCCTGTCAGCTTTGGGCTTGGTCTTTTCAAGCAGTGTTCTTCTGGGGAAACTTGGCAACCCTTACCTTTACCCTTACCCCAACCACAGGAGATGCCTTCTCAGCAGTTGTTGGAAGGGGGGCGCAGGGTGTTCAGGTCTGTTTGCATGGTTAGGAATTCATGGGTTTCACACAGAGATCCCAAGTGGCTCTGTCCTTTGTCGCTTCCAAGAGGCTGTCATCCCCACCACGAGAGGGATGACCTGGTGGATATAGGGCAGGGACATGAGTTTTCCAATCCTATTTATTTTCCTTAGAAGAGAGACTTCATGATTTTTAGTAGGACTGGGTCTGTCTAATTCTAATGATACTTATTACAAACAGTGGCAAAATTTGGAGAAATGCTAATAGTTTTTGTCATGGGTTCAACTTTTAGCTTCTCAGGAATGTGATAGTAACAGAGTCTTTAAAACAAGACTATCACTAGATGGTTTGTTTTCAGCTGCTTATCAAAAAAAAGTGATGGGTATACAACAGTATAATTCCACACTGATTGATCATTTTATGTTGCTGCCGTGCCTTTCTTAAGTATGTATACTTAGGCTGAGATTTTAAAACCTGCCAAGAAGATTTGGCTGTCCAATTCCCATTGATTTTAATGGGAACTGGCCATTCAGACCTCTTGGGCAGCTTTCAAAATCTCCATGACAATCTCCAAAGCACAGTTGCATCTGCCATTTATTTTTATTGTTGTTTTTCAGCCACATGTGAAGTGAGGGAAGAAAACTTCAAAACATTTGACAGAGTGAAGTACAAATGTTCATTCAATAAAGACTGCAACCTTGTAGTAGCTCAAGACTGCACTGCTCACCCCAAATTCATCGTCATGACGAGAAAAGTCAATCCACGCTCTTCCTCCAGGGAGGTGTACATCAATATTAGTTCATCGTAAGTGTAATCATTCTTGAGTCGCTATATAGAATTTTAGGAAGTTAGTTTACATTTTGTTGCATTGGAAAAAATGATGGGTACTTTTTAAATCATAATACCAGCAATCGTCTTCTGCCCTCCAGCCTCTCTCTTCAATTTCTCAGGTAATGCTTATCAACAGCCCCCACACAGCTACCTCCTTGGGCTTCTCATTTCCAGGAAAGTGTTGAACCAGAGCCCTAAACCCAACCAGTGTTGAACTTTGGGGGCATATTCAAAATTTGGATGCTGAAGTTGGGGCTGTGTCTGTGTTGGTCATTTACATCAATGTTCCCACAGTTAAACACATTTGTTTTCTTCTTTCAAGAAGCGTGAGACTCTATCTTTCTCCATCTTCCTCTATCCTCGTGTCATACAATGACGGACCAGTGTTAACGCACAGCAAAATGTATCAAAATAAAAGAGGTAAGTGTGTTACTCACCTTTCCAGGAATTATTTAGAAATTAAATATTTACAGGAATATAGAATCATAGAATTGTAGGACTGGACGGGTCCTCGAGAGGTCATCTGGTCTAGCCCCTGCACTAATGGCAGGACTAAATATTATCTAGGCCAAAATATTTTACAAGCTTAATGAGGACTTCGAGATGTAAAAAATAATTGTGTATCAATACTAAGAAAAACTATGGGCCTGATACTTCTGTGACTTATTTTGGTTTTACATACCTGACTTCAACTGACATACTCTTAATTTTCACTAATAAGTGAATCAGGCCCATTATTATATTGATTTGTATAGTGTGCTTGCCACTGTAAAGCATAAGGATTAATCCTCTCACTGAAATGTGAAGCATTTTGCATTCAGAGCTGCTTGACTATATTGGTACTTGTTTATATGTAGGTGCAATGCCATGATGATGAACATCATAGAGAAAGCTAGATATTTAGGACCAGATCTTCAGCTGGTGTAAATCAGGCTGGCTCTATTGACTAGACAGAAAAGTCAATGACAGCTATATAGATCCAGAGAAACAGCATTTTGCAAATAAAAAGAAAAAACTCTTATTTCTGACCTCACCTCTCCACAAAAAATGTATTCAGATGGAAATAGTAAACAGTCTTTGTAAATGAAAATTAATGATTATATACATTATCCCTGAGATTAGATAATTTCTTTACTATTTCAAAATTAGAGGAACCACCTGTAAACAGTTGTATCTTTTTACAGAAAACATTAAAATTTATAGAAATGAAACAACAGTTGTAGTAGAAGCTCCAGACCAAGGGCTGGCGAATGTGACTTTTGATGGATCGACACTTAAGGTACTTCTGAATCTGCTTTATTACTAGCTTTCTTCTCTTTTACACCTTTGCATTGTAATGGGCCAACACATTAGCATCGACAGAAAAGATGTGTTATCTTTATAGGTTACTGTTGTTTCATGGATGAGAGGAAGGACCTGTGGTATTTGTGGAAATAATGATGGACAAAAGCAAAATGAACTCCTCATGCCCAATCATAGGCTGGCACACAGCTGCTCAGCTTTTGTCCATTCATGGGTACTGGTAGAAGAAACCTGCGCCGAAGGTCAGTAGATTTGAAAACAATTTTTACTTAGAGAAAATGTCATTTTTATTTTATTTTTCCCCTAAAAATACAAAAAAGAAAAAAGAAACATTTACCTGTAAATAAAAAGGACCACTGTTGTCATTCATTTTCTGTTTATATAACTAATCGTTATTTTAGAACTCTCCCAATGAATCTGAAGCGTTGAATACAACTCTTTCTCACATTCAGTTTACTACTAGAGGCTTGATTCTGCCACATTTACTGATACTTAAGTAGTTCCTTACTCCATGACTGGCAAAATCAGACCCAGTCTTGCTCCCACTGAAGTCAGTGGAAGTTTCACCACTGATTTGCTTCAGAGCAGGAGCGTGCACTAAATCAGCTCGCTCTCTGTAGACTTAATTTAATCAAACAAACTACATATGTTATAAACAGCACACAGAGAATTTTAGTACATTGGGCCAGACCCTCAGCTGGGGTAAACTGGCATAGCACCATTGACTTCAATTCCATTTTACCCCATCAGAGGATCTGGATAGAAAGGGGGCGGGAGGGGGGCGTTGGGAAATACTCTTACTGTATAAGTGTGTCTCCTTGCATATATTTATAATAATACTACACTCCCTCCAACAGTGCAGTATTTTCATTTACTTTGGGCCTGTAAAGAGTCTCAATAGAGTCAAATGGGCTTTTTCCATTGATTTCAGTGGCAGCAAGATCATACCCATAAGCATGTCAGGAAACTAGATAGCACGTGGAATCCTGTGAATGTTAATGATCCTTTTAGTGCTGATAATTGCAGCATTATAAAAATCATCCAATACAACAATTGGTCTTGATATCATTATGTAAATGCTGCCATTACTTATGCACTCACAAACAACTGACATTTTTCCTAATGCAATTCAGCAGTCCCTGTTCTTACACAGCACCTATTCTTAATAGCTTTCAGACCTATTTCTAAAAGAGTGGACTATAGGATTTCATTTGGGCCATACTGTGCCATCAGTTTTTAAACACAACTCCCCTTTCAAAAATCAGTTTTCCCCACTAACTATGGTCCTGATCTTGCCACCTTTACTGCTGTGAAAATGGGTCATTGGGGAGTTGTACTTAAAAGATGAGGAGAAAATATGGACTTTTCTTATTGTAAGGAAAGATTAGAGCACTTGTATTCCTTAGGGTTTAACTACTTTTTCTTTTTCCTCTTAGGGTGTAAACTGCAACGCCGCTATGTGAAACTGAAGGGACATCCTGTTATTGATGGAAGGGAATCTACATGTTATTCTGTTGACAGGATACTGCAGTGTATGAAAGGCTGTACTCCAACTGAGAAAACCTCAGTTAAAGTTGGCTTCTCCTGTTTCCCAAAAGGTAGGATTTTTTTTGTTTTACTTTCTTTGTCACATACCAGAGGAGCTCTGTCAGATCAGTTAGTCAAGATATAGCACAGCACCACACAGACCCCCTACTAGCCCACTTGACTTTCAGAGCTGTTATTTCCTAACCCCATTAATATTTTACATAAACAATTACAATAATGGGTAGCTAGAAGCCAATGTGGATTATTTGGCAGATGGTATTGTCTGAAAAAAATCTTAGGGATGGTAAAAGGAGCAGCAGTGACCAATAAAAATGTGTCATGCCTTCCAGATGTTTCATTGAGTTGTGATAAGCAACAAAAAGTCCTTTTAGTCACATTGCAATCTGCTATTTCATGTAGACGAAGATGAGAAAAGCAACTGAAAGTCAGTCACGTAATGTAACATGACTGCAGTATGATTAGGCTGCCATGCTCTGCCCATGTGCAATGCATCAGCAAAAAACATATTGCTAGGGTGTTCTCCTGATTATTTCAGAAAACAGCTTGATTTTGAAGGTATTTAACTCTCAGACATATCAGATTTTTAAAAAGCATGGACCTGATTCTGTTTTCACTTATATTAGCTTGACACTAGTGCAACTCCGTTGTCTACAAAGTAGATACTCTAACTTCACACAAGTGTGAGAGGAGAATCAGGCCTCATGTCTACAGAGTTTCTTCTTTTCTGGTGCATTACTTCCAAATCCTTAAATATACAGGAATTGATCACACAACTCACATGTACCATAGCCGTAAACAGTTCTGCCACCTACCAGTACAGCTCTGTTCTGCATGTTAACCTTCTGGGCCAGCGCCCCAGCTGGTGTAAACTGACATAGCTCCATAGAACTCAGTTTATACCAGAAGAAGAATCTAGTGTTCTCTGACTGATTTTAAACAGTGTTCCTAAAGATCATCATGCTTTGCTCATATTATTAGAATTCCCAATGTGCCAAAGCAGTTCACGAAAACATTGGGTATATATCTCTTCAGTAGGCAACCCAGCTCACACAACCAATAAGAAAAGTAACACAGTGAGATTACTAATAGCATACTGACAGCACCATGTGATGTGACTAGATGAATCCTTTTAAGAAAAGAAAAGACACCCTCAATGCCAAGCTATCTCTAAAATCTTGTCATATCCATGTTTCACAGATTTTCTTTTGTGTCCATGTTCCATATCTGTGAAGTGTCATCACCCTAGGCCACTCACTGCTTCGATTACTAGACTATAATAAATTTGTCTCATTCTCACACAAAATGAAAAGAAGAAAATCAGCCAAATCAGTCATCATAGTCACTGCTGCTTGCACAGCAGCTGCAGGTTTCTCTGGTTCGTTTACTGAATCTCAGACACAGGAGCCCACTACCACCTCTGCTTCTTGCTCTTTTATCAAGGTTTTCTTATTATTATTATTATTATTATTTTCCTGAGGAGGAAGAAGGTAGAGGATGCCATTGGTGTTCTTCAGTAACATGATTGATTTTCCTCAGGCTGGGAATCAACAGCATTACAATGGAACTCTTTAAGAGATGTCCTTTTTTTGTTTTTGTTTGATGGACCAGATAAGTAGCAGCAGAAGCAGAGCTGGTAACATAATTCTCTCTCCCAGGTTCATAAAATGAACTCCTATATATGTGGGCAAAATTCTTCTCTCAGATCCACACAGGGAGAACTCAGCCCTGATACTCTGCTCCTCACAAAGTGGGAGCCCACATTACTGACAGCAATGGGAGGCCAACACGTATAGGGTGAGCATAATATCAGGGAAGTTACTGCTGTGCAGAACTGAAGGGAAAATTTCCCCCTATTGCCCTAGAAATCTGTGGCCAAATCCTGCAGTTTATACTTCAGGCAATTTGCCTGATGGACCATATCCTACAAATTCTTACTCACTCGCATCGTAGTTACTCAGGTACACAGTTCCATTGATGCCACTGAGACTGTTTGCAGAAGTAAGGACTACTTATGAGGCTAAAGCTTGCAGGATTGGGCCTTTAGTATGCAAAAATTTAGAAGACCAAGGCATGAGAAAAAGCTAAGCAAAAGCAAATCAAAACTAGACTCTTTAGGGTTTCTCATTTTCTAGCTTTAAAATATTAAATATTTAATAACAAATAGCTCAAGCATCATGCTAGGATAATATGTTTTGTAGTTCGTTATACAAAACCTGTGTGTCAAGTTGGTCAGAGAGGTGTAATTCCACCAAATTGTGCATTAACATTTCATTCATTGAGTATGGATGACTGATACAGCCAAAACCCAAACAAACATTTCCGGATTTTCTCTTGGTATAATATAATATGTTGTAAATATATTGCCCATATGTCTGACAAAACAACTAGAGATAAAATTATGGAAGCTTGGCACATTCTACTTAGGCAAACAATCTAAATGCGGGTTCTAATATTCTTCCATATGCAATGTTAAACCTCCAACCAGCTCAGAATGTTTATTGGGAGGATGAATATTATTATTTCATTTAGATTATTTCAGCAGTAGGGGTTTATGATATATTAAAGCTGCTGTTGATAAAGCAACCTGGTAAGGTTAATACTGAAACTGACATTGCACTGCCAGTTTTGAGAATATATGGAAAACTTTAATTAGAAGTTTATGAACCTCTGAAAATCTTCCAAAGGGCCTATCCTTCAAAATGAACTTAAACAGAGAGATGAAATATCCGCCCACCCACTCCACCCTCATAGGCAGTGATAACATGAAAAGAGATGGCTGATATGCTTTTCTACAGAGTGCTCTTATTTAAAGGGCGGTCACATCCAGCACTTCTACAAGCCCCTGCTTTCTATATTTGTGCATCATGAAATTCAATTCATTTTGTTTTAGGGAAGTATTATAGTAATTACACCACGGATGAAAATCCTGCTCCGAGTCAATAGGTCAGTCAGAGGTCAATGGTAGAGGCAGGATTGGACCCATATTCTTTGTCTGGTGAAAGAGTTGGCAACCATCAAAATAATATTGCCTTGGAATGTTTTCAAGTGTTAATTTGCTTGATGTTAGTTAATGTGGCTTTGCTCTTCTGACAGATTCTGCTGTGAGCCTGTCTGACTGGCATAGGGGCAGTGACAGGAAATATGCAGCCGAGGACATCGTGGAGTCTGTGGATGCTGACATTGACTGTTCCTGCACTGACGATTGTAGTTCATCTTAATGCTTTAGCAATGTGCTATAGACGTACTCACCCAAATGATTGAATAGCTGGACAGCTGCAGGGGGAATGCAATAGCTGCAGTAAAATATTAAAAAAAAATGCTTTAAAAATAGGTAAGCCTAATGCATTACGTACAAAGTCAAATGCATTATGTACAATACGCGCTGCTTAATAAATATGCTGTTCATTAAATAAGTATCCAGATCTCTTTTTTCCCCCTCCTTCTTATCAACAAAGCAATCAAGCCAAGTATAATATTCTGGATCCTTTTATCTGGAATATAATTACACTGGTCCTCTCTTAAAATTATGTTCACTGGGTGATGAGAGGAAAACATGATTATGGCTATCTCTAACATTCTATTATATAAAGGATTTCATAATTTAGCATACTAAAGATAAAGTACACACTTGTTTTCATTTATGTTTTCTAATAAAAAGGAAAATCCTGTGCTTCAAAACTGTTCTGTAAAAAAATATTTCACTCCCAGCAAGAGCATTAGCCTTAGTATACAGTACAAAAGAATGACTTGAACTGCTAGGCTCCCACAGTAGCTTTTCAGAGAGCCAATGTGTGTGACACAGTCCCCATTTTGATTTAAATTTAAAAGGGTGTGATGTTAGTTCATAGGCTACCAGAGTAAAAAGGAACTTTTTTTGTTGATCATTTTCTATTGTACATCCATGAAATTCATGCTTATAAAAACTTTAGGTAAAACACTGAGTAAAATTACCAAAAGAATGACAGAAAAATATGATACAAATGACAACAATACCCATACATTACATATCTAAAATAAAGTCCAACAGTAAGGGCCAGATTCTGTCTGGCATGTGGGTAGTAGTAACCAAAGAATTTGTTCAGACAACTATTTAATGTTGATCCTCAATTTTCCCATCAACTCCATTCAGTATAGTAACAATAACATCAGTTCTCCTGCTACATTTTTATTTGTAATACAGTGTTCACAAGATGTTCCCTATCCTTCCTTGAAGAACCTCTGCCTCAATCCAAATCCATGTTACTTGCTAGTTCCTCAGAAGAGTTACACTGCAAAAGGGGAGATGAAGCGTCTTACACTCCTCCTCCCATTAAAATGACAAAGTACAGGCTGAGCTACTGTCAGCTCCTCCATTGGGCCTGGGCCACTTCCCACTATCATTTGTGGAAGCTTTGCCCTGACTTTAATGCACTCACTACTGGGCCCACTGTCTCTAATTCCAAATCTTCTTGCCTCTTAAGCCACCTGTTTATGAAAAGGCAACTTTCCTCCAGTAAACCAGTTCAAATAAAACAAAGATAGTGAAGAGAAATATTAACAGGAGCTTTAATGCTCAAAAGGCACTATGATAAAAACGAAATACTCTTTACCATTATGAATGAATTCTACTTTTAATAGACCATGCCCTCTACATATAGATACCACAGTAATCAGCACCGATCAAGCTGGTACCTGCAGTATGAAAAAAATATAAGCCCCTGTTATGTCAGCTAAAAGAGAACTCCTTCCCCTGGAAGTAAGACACAAGGTGTTTTTATAATCCGTGGAACCAACCTCAAGAGAGGCAACTCAATCACATATACTAAGCCAGTGTATTACATAATGGCAACACAGTAATGCCATAAATCACGGCAAATGCAGAGAGTGTTATGTTCCTGTCTCAGGGGTGGCAGCCTCAGATCTACAAGCGCAACAAAGAGAAGACACTAAAAATGCATTTCCCTGTGTATAGCACCCGCTTAAATAAAATTTACCAAATTAGACACACTATGCTGTACTGCCTGAAACGATAAATGCTCATCCCCAGTGATGGAGGGCGGAGCCTTGAGTATTCAATGCTCAACCCTGGTAACGACTGCCGGCCAGTCACCTGACTTAAGGTCAGGCCGTTAGTGATGAGTAGAAGGGAGCTTGAAGCGCAGAAACAGGAAAGAAGACCATGCTGCTCATTTAAACTTTTTTTGTTAACCTTCTTCTGCACTCACGTGCACTAAAATGAGTCCCACCGCCTTCAGTGGGAGTTGGCCCCAAGCATCTGAGGACAGACGTTAGCTCAGCAGCTTGTGACAGGCAACACATATCATTGTTTCACGTTCTTGTGGCTCAGTGCTGCAGCTGCCATGCTGTAGCTGTTATTTCCAGGCCATTGAAATCAGTGGACAGTATTCTACGTGTAGGTACATTCAGAAGCAGTACTGGCACATTCTAAACGACCGTAAGCTAGAATGCTCTGCCGCACTCAAGCGGCTGATGAAAGGAAAGGTGATATCTGGGAGTGTATGTGCTGGGAGCACAAGATGATGATATAGCAGATGTTCATTTCTGCTAAGGAAGTGCACACGGTGGCAACCATTCACACTTTCTCAAATAAGGCTTTGCTCAGACTGCAGCTTCGCCCAGATGGGGAAGCCGTGGCTAGTGAAACGAGTGCATGCCTGCTTCCCTCTGTTCCATTCAGGACAGAGGTTAGCCACAGCTCATACTATTTCCATTTTTAAGGCACAGCTTTTATTTCTGTCTGTTGTTCTGGAGGTGATGGTGCTCATTCATTAGTGGCCCCATACTGAGGCAGCTGAATATCTTTAAAAGACAGAACGAAGCCACTGATGCTGCAGCTGTGAAATCCAAATATAATGAAAGCTCGTAAAGCTCCGAGTTGGAATTTGGGGGGGGTGAGGGGAGGAAGGCTGGTACAACAAACTCATCTTACCAAAGGAATTAAGAGCAATATTAGATTTGTAAGTGTCAAAAGGCCAATGCTCCACGTGCTAATATACCACAGCGATATTTCAGACCTATTTCAGAGGCTGGCTGAAGTTTGGATTTAAAGCTCATTTGGAATTCAGTCCTGCCCTATGTTATAAAGCAACTCTAACATTACAATTATCTACTGAGTATTAAAATGTATATTTAACAGGCAAGGCTTTTATGTACTGTACCTTTCGTCACTATTGCTTCTCAACTGCTATGAATTGCTTAAGTTTTGTTCTGTATTGTAGCAAGCTAAGCAAATGGCCTTTCAGTTACGTCCCTTATGCTGTTTTGGAGCACACCCAGACCAGTAAGGAATAAGGTTGCCAAGCCTCCAGGATTGTCCTGAAGTCTCCAGGAATTAAGGATTAATCTTTAATTAAAGATCATGTAATGTGAAAAATCCTCCAGGAATATGTCCAACCAAAATTGGCAACCCTACTAAGGGGATCTGTCACCATCTGCCCTGCAGCCTGGGGGTCCCTGTGCAACTGCAGCTCAGATCCCTAACACCAGTAACTGTTCACAAGCGCAAAGTCACTCTGGTGTCCAGCATCCTAGTTTCTCCTTTCAGGGTGACTCAACAGCCCTGCCAAAGTCTCCCCAAATCCATCTTTCTTGAGTTCGTAAGTACCAGAAACTCTAACTTTTCCCCTCTGATTCAGCACTCCCAAAGGTCTGAATCCAGCCCCTCACCTCCCACCCCCTACGTTATCAGGTCTCTTTGGTGCACACACTCCACACAGTTTGCACCACAGAGACCTGCTTAGGGTAAAAATAAACAAAAGATTTATTTAATAGCAAAACCACAGATTCAAAGATGAAATAGTAAGAGAGAGCAAACATATGAGTTACCCAGTAAAAAAACACAGACATAACCTCAGGCTTTAACTTCTACATTAAATAAAATCCCTTTTCTAATACAAGTTGCCTTTGAACTGTTTCCCAGCATACTGCCTGTGTGCCAGTGTTTCATGGACAGCTTCCAGCCTACAGCCTGTCCCTCAGTTTCACTTAAACTCCTTCCATTTTAAAAGGGTTTGAGGCGGGGGGCGGGGGGGTGTTCTTCAGTCACTATATGTATTCAGAGAGGAGAAAATGCTCGCCTGTCTTCGTTTGCTTGATGCTTGAAGGCAGTCTTATCTGGTTCAGAGGTGGCCCACCCCCACCTGATTGCATCGCCATGCTGTTGTGAGGTGGTGCTGAGGTGAGTTACAATTTGCTATACATACATACAGTCATAACCATAAGCCATAAACATATCTCAAAATGACTGTTCAGTTCAGTGCATTACAAGCTTTCATAAAAGATCTCACTTGGTATTCTCTAACAGTATATGCAATCAATTGGTTGAACTTCTTATTGTGGCAGAAGTTAACCCTTCTCTTCTCTCCTTGGGGTGTCTGTGTAACCCACACACCTCCTGGGTGTGGTGTTCTGTAGTGGCACTGAGACCACTTAGAGAGAGAAATTAACAAGTCTGCCCTACAGCCTTAGCTAAGGGCCATATGGCTTTTAGCTCATGCAGTAGATGCTCATGCACTAAGCTCCAGAGGCCCCAGGTTTTCTCCTGCCCTCCGATGATCAGGGTCTGTCAGCATTACATCTGCACCCTGATTATCACAGTCTCCCCCATGAGTTTGATACTGGTGTTTTGGCCATTGGCCATGACCTAAGAGTCATTTCTGCCTAGGAGTTCCAGCAGCTCCCTAAAAGTGGTGGGCCACGGATACCCAAAACCATGGCCCTGCCCCGCCACTCTGTCCCTTCTCCTGAGGCCCCACCTCCACTGCACCTCCCCTCCCCTCCCCTGAGTCCCTGCCCTTCTGCTGCCTCTGCCCCCCAAGGCCCCACCCCAGTGGTGGATTATCCACTGGGCCCACAGTGTCCATGCCCAGGGACCCCGGCCAATTGGTGGGAACTGGGAAAATGGGCTCTCCCTCCTCCCCCCCACCCCCACAGTGTATATCCACTGTGGGGCGGCAGGGAAAGCCCCAGTGGCAGCTCCCTCCCCCCGGTCCCCAGAAGTGCCAGACTACCAGGGCAGTCTCCAGCACCCCCTCCCCTCTCCGCCTGACCTCAGCATGGGGCAGCAGGGGAAGCCCCAGCAGCAGCACCTGCCCCCAGTTCCCAGAAGCGCCAGGCAGGCGGGACAACCCGGGTGCAGGGCAGCAGGGGAAGCCTGGGCAGCAGGGGAAACCCCAGCGCCCCTACCCGCTCCCCAGCAGAAGCTGCGGGATGGGGAAAG